CTCTTACAAAATGTTGAAATGCTTTAACAATTTATAGGAGCGAATCAGGAGCGGGTAACTAGAAGCTAATGTATTAATACGGTAGTTTCCAACTATTATAGTCAAATTAAATACTTTTAACCAAATGTCAAAAACAATACTTTTCTATGAAATAAGTGAGTTATGACGTCATAGAGTTTTAACGTCAAATAGCTTACTTATTTCTTAAACATTTGCTAATAAATATCAAAAATTTAGATTTAATGAAATTAGTTATTTTTCAATATTTTATTGTATTGAAACGTCAAATTAATTTATTTTTGACCTAGTAAACTAACCAATTAAAAAGCAAAATACATAATAATAGAAGCTATAGATAAATAATTTTCTGTTTCGAAAATAGAAGTAACATTGTCATATATTTATAATTTATATGCTATCTATGCATTGCAGTTTTACCTTGGCGGTCGGTCGTGTATTCCCGATTGGATAGGTATAAATTGTATGCATAACAATGTTTTAATGCACTTGGCTTTAGGTACTTACACTCGTAAACTTTGTCACCTTGTGCAATTGTTGCTTATTGGATATAGTAAAGCACAGAAAATACGCTATTTGGTGTCGGATGATGTTTTTTTTTATGGTATAAGTCGGCAAACGAGCAGACGGATTACCTGATGGTAAGCAATCAGCGCCTCCCATGGACACCCGCAACGCCAAAGGAGTTACGAGTGCGTTGCCTGCCTTTTGGGGATAGAGGTTGCGGAAATAAGGATCGGAAAGGGATAGGGGAAGGGAAGGGATTGGGCCTCCGGTAACCTCACACGGCGAAACAAAACACTGTGGGTTGTTTCACGCCGGTATTCCGTGAGGCCGTGGTATCACTCCGGTCGAGCCGGCCCATTCATGCCGAAGCTTGGCTCTCCCACACTTATGATGTATATTTATGTAGATTATTAAGGACCTAAGTATTATTACCTACCTTTTAATAAGGGATACGATACTTATGGATATTTCAGCATGTAGCAACATTTTATAGTTAGTGGAATACACGTGTTTCCAAAGATAGATTAGCCGGTAAGGTACTTCTCATCATTTCTTTTTAAACTTAATTTAAAGATTTATTGTGATCAGAAGTGAATTTAAGAAGAAATTATTGTAGATATAATTTATTTGTGTAAGGCTAAGAACTCACGGAGCGATTTTGAACCGTGCCCGCCGCGGTAGCCGAACTGCGGTTTTATTTCCAAACTCTCGAGACCGGTTATTTGCGCGGTTGCACAGCCGCCGCGGTTGCGATCATCGCCCGCAAACGTGGCGGGCGATGATCGCAAGATTGCAAGACGGGCGGTTAATGATCAGTTGAGGTCCAGACCGCCATGGACACACACCAGAAACGAGCCGTTGCGTTATATTTACTTCACAGAAGACCCGCCGGCCCCCGCGGTCCCTCGCCAACCGATCGCAAAGCGCGCGGGTGCCACCCGCCGAGGCTGCGGGTAACCGCGGCCCGCGCGATTCTACTATTTGCCCGCCGGTACAGCGGGAGCCGCATACAACCGCGTACACCGCGGGCGTAAAACGCGTCGTGAAATGTGCTTTAATTTTTTATATAAATATTTGAATTCTACAGAAGCTGCGGGCCCGCAACCGCAGCGGCCGCGGGCGAAAATCGCTCCGTGAGTTCTTAGCCTTAGGCTGATTTTTCAATAGTCAGATAAATGTTATCAGAAGATTAAAATTTTTGCTGTCACTGCCTTACATATGTCGCAGGGATATGATAAAAACAGGGATTTGGCCAAATCCCTAAGGGATTTGATCAAATCACGGAGGATGTTAAAATAACAACAAGTTTTTATCATTTCCCTAAGCAAATCTGGTGATTTGACAAATCTCCGTAAAGAAATCTAGTGATTTGAACAAATCCATAAATTGGTTCAGTGAAATGTCAAAAATAACTTTTGTGATATTTTTAAGGTTTATTTTGTAAGATTACCTACATAATTATAATAATCAGGTGTATCACAATGCAATATTAATCTGAAAAATCACCACTAGAACATTATTATTTGAAAAAAGAGAAACAAAAATTAAAAAAAATATAATTATAAATGTAGAATAACGTAACGTATCATACGTTAAGTTTAAGTTAAGTTAAGGCGCGGTCACTGACAAGCAAGTGCGAGCGCGACGTTTTAATAGGTCGGCAAACGAGCAGACTGATTACCTGATGGTAAGCAATCAGCGCCACTCATGGACACCCGCAACGGAGGAGTTACATGTGCGTTGCCGACAGATCAAATCCCTGTTTTCATCATATCCCTGCGACATATACAAACATTCTGACGCGATAGCATCATAATTATTCCGCAAATAACTTTTATCTTTCCATTGAAAAATCAGCCCTAAGTGTCTAGATCTATTTGTCCAGCTAGTTGCAATGGCGGGCGAATAAGATTGCGTTACTTGACCGATTATCTTTTATTAAACACTTTTAAACACTTAGTTTCATATTATTAGTAGTATCTTACGCTACGGGGAGAAGTGTGACATCACACTACAAACTAGGTTTTTTTGAAGGGGGAAAATCATTATAAGTGTGGGAGAGCCATGCTTCGGCAAGAATGGGTCGGCTCGACCGGAGTGATAGCACCGCCTCACATACAAAAATCGGCGTGAAACGAACACAGCATTGTATTTCGTCGTGTGAGTGAGGTTACCGGAGGCCCAATCCTTCCCCTCCTTCAATCCCTAATCTCCAAAAGCTAGGTTGGCAACGCACACGTAACTCCTCCTTAGTTGCGAGTGTCCATGGGCGGCACTGATTGCTTACCATCAGGTAATCTGCATAATCGTTTGCCGTCCTATAAAAATATGTATGATATCTCTCGCTGAGTGTTAGACTATTACTGACTAAAAAGCACTACCGTAAGTTTGGCTTACTTTGACCCTGGGAGGTAACTTTGATCCAAATTTTCGAACCAATGAAAAACGAATATATGTTTGGTTCTCAGTTATTATTGGTTAAAGGGTTTGGATCAAAGTTACCCCGCAGGGTCAAAGTAACCCGAACTTACCCGGTATGTTCTTTTTCTTGCTCTGGGCCATAGCCGCGGTTCATTACTGAGCTTGGCCCGTAAGTTGCAACCCCACCTGAAATTTACCTAAGTCAAAGTCAAAGTCAAAATCATTTATTCCAATTAAACCATAAATAAGTACTTTTGAAACGTCAAATTAGAAAAATACCTGTAGTCAGCCAGTCTGTTCGTTAGTGAAGCTAGGTGCTCATTCCAAATTGTAGATTCGAATGGAGACGAACGAGCAAGAAACTCCATCGTTACTCTTTTTAAAAAAAAAATGTTTTACAATTTCAATAATATAACATTGATACCTAAGTGCCTTTATACCAAAGTGCCTTCATATCTATCTTGCCAAACAAGTAGGTGGCTTGTCTTTTATAACAGCTAAAGGTGTGTCCACTTTATCAGTTAGTTGAAGCCAATTAATTAGGTGATAAATTCTTGGAAACTTATTGATTAATCGACCAAGGAAGGAAATTACGTGAAAGCTTGTGTCCGTCCGTATTTATTTATAGTTACATACGTAGGTGCAGGTGCAACTCTTTCCCATAGAGCCAATAGTTTCAAATCTACTTCTTGTTTTGTGTTGTTGTGATTTATTCATCAAATCTCAAGCGAACGCCGGCTTCCGCTCACCTATTGTGTCTCGGTGTCTTGAATCACCACGATTGAAAGGTTAATAGTTTTAGAGTAGTCTTACAAGATGTTTCCTTCACCGTTTGTCAGTGGTGTCTAAATAGTCACACAAAGTAGTCACGATGCTAAAGTTGTCTGCTATTGCGATATACAGACAGATGTCTTTGAGTCCTTACTTTTAAAATCGTAGATATATTTTTGAGGTAACGTTGCCCTACATTAGTATTTTCTCCTGTGTCGTGGGACTCGTGGGTGCGTTTACAAACATACAATTTCACATTATAGGTGCATCACACCCAGACCCGGAAGAACAATTTGTGCATGACACAAAGAGTTGTGCTAAAAAGCCGCGACAGGTTGAGCGGCAGCCAGTTACCCAGCCATTGTACCAATCGTGTAGTCAAACCGAAATATTGCAAAAATATTTTTGGAATATTTCGCGACTCCTCAGGTTTGGTAGAGGTTAGTACATATTAATAAATAAGAAGTGGAAACTACATAAAACATTTCAAAATAGAACAGAACAGACGGAGAACTAACGGTCCGATGATATCTAGATCTAACCTTTGCTTTGTTACATTTTTAATGTTTACCAACTTATCTTCGACACCAGTTTTCACATGTAGTATGTACCCATGTAAAGTTACTTGTAAGTTTGAAATACAGAACTACCTATCACAAGCAAAATTTTACTTAAATGGTAATTCCTTAAACTATACCGCTTTATACATAAGTTCATAATGAAAAAATATTTTTTTTCTGATAAGACACGGTATGCCACTCAAGTGTATCTCTAACGTTAATGAATGAAACCGATAAGCTTCTGACGTGCCACGACACACCATACGGTAAAGTTTTCTACAATAAGAATTGTTGTGTAGTGAAGCCACACGAAAACGTTTGTCACAACACCCTTAAGGCGAGGGCAAGTGTTTAGTTTTTAGTTGTGGTCGTCGTCAGTCGTGGTGGCTCGGAAACCTGGCAAATACAAATGTAACTTTTTCGGACTTATATGTACTTTCTAAGATTATTTTGACACCACTGAAATACGGTGATGTAAAACATCGCGAGGAAACCTCGACTTTATTTAATTTCTAATTATAAGTTTGACGTCACCAATCTGCCTTGAGCAAGCGCGGCGATTAATGCTCAAACCTTCTCCGTGTGAGAAGAGGCCTTTGCTCAGCGGGGGCCACTTATAGGCTGATGATGTGAGGGCGACTAATCTAATATCAATAGGTCTATATTTCACCAGTGAACTTTAAGGAGTTGATGCAGGATATTAACATCTACTTTTCTTTCCAGGAGTTCTTCCTGCCCGCTACATATTATCTGTTCTGGGCTCCATAGGCTTTGCAATAGTCTATGGGTTGAAGGTGAATCTCTCGGTCGCTATGGTGGGGATGCTGAACCATACTGCACTCAAGAAGGCACAAGGGGTTTCTGATGGACACGATTCTGGAGGTCCGGCTGAATGCACTCCCTCAGGTGGAAATAGTAGTGTTACTGTAAGTAAAGTATATTTTCTATGTGATAATTCGATAGAGTATTTCTTTTTTTATGAGATCGGTTCAACCGATGGTAAGCAAACGGCGTGCCGTCGCACAGGTACATCCGCAACACCAAAGGAATTACTAGTGCCAATCTCTTTTTATAGGTCGATGGATATTTTTTAAAATTGCGTCTAAAAAGAGAGGAAGCATTTGACTTTCAATAAGTAATAACTTTTCGATACAAAACACGAAAACTGTTTATCCCAATGATATTATAATTGAAAAGGTGTAGATAGGTCATTAGCGCTCAGCAAGTGATCTATTAAAATGTGGCTAAGCAGCCAATTTTTTTTTGTATTTGTCTATTTTCCACTGGCAATTATTGAATCATGCCATATGACTTGTGTGCATTAGTGTGTTTTTGAAAATCGAATGTTGTTTATGTAACCTATCTACACCATTTTACTTATAAAATCATTGGTTTATTCTATATAGATAAGAGAAATCACCGACTCCATTGCAAGTCTTGTGAGATGTATCATAAAAGTTCGCATTGATAATGTTGTATTCAGACCTAATTTCCATCAACTTGTAATAAACATGAGTTGTTTTTAAATAGCAACGAATTGGGGCGATCGTAAACGGTGATATGCGAATGTCCTGCTTTTCATTGGCTGTGCCAATAAATTATTATCTTATTTGCCGACGATTGTTTTCACTTGGGCTGACTTGGGCAATAATTCCTGACTGGACGTAGAGATCCGGGGTCGCGAGTGCAAGCCCAATGATGTACCGCAGGCCAGTTCGGAGTAGGAGAAGGGCCAATGATTAAAAAAAAACATCTCAAAAATCTGCTCAAGGAATGCCCCACATAGGTCATAAAGTTTTATAAATATATTTTTGGCACGAATCCAATCGTTCATTCCAACAAAAACAGCCCTGGGTAGGGCGGGAGTGGGACTAGGAGAGGGAGTGCCAAACCCTTACTTACTAAAAGCAACCCCATCCTTTCTCCTGTTCCGGGCTGAGAACGCGATACGTTATTGCGTTTATATTTACTGAATAATAACTTTTTCTTATATTCTAACTGTACCTTTTCATTTCATTTAACTACAAAGTAGCTATGAAAGTATAGCGTATATAGTATATATTATAATATAATTATAATTTATAATATAATTTAAGTATATAGTATATACTTAAATTATTATAATTATAATTTAAGTATATAGTATATATATATAAGTATATAAATTGGTGACCCTCCTGAAGAAAAAGAACACAAATAAATATCAAGACGGAAAAATCCCTGCAAGTCAGAAGAAATATGACAAGCGAAGAATTCAGCAACGCCCATGGCGGCGTAACGACAGTGAAGAGCGACGTGGCGACAATATCTCTGCCCGCCAGATTGCCACCATTTTGGCGCCAAAATCCTCGCCTATGGTTTGCGCAATTCGAGGCAGCTGTCGCCGCCAGTAAAATAGGAGAAGAGCAGAAGTTTAACCTCGTCGTACCATTGCTCGGCAACAACGACCTAGAACAGATCGCCGACATCATACTAAACCCCCCAGCGTCCGGCAAGTACAGCACACTGAAAGAACGGCTGATCTCCACATACCAAGAGTCTGACCATCGCCAGCTTCAGAAACTGCTGAGTGGTCTCGAGCTCGGCGACCAAAAACCGAGCCAGCTACTCCGCAAGATGCGTGACCTCAGCGGCAAACTCCTGTCCGACGAAGCACTTAAAGTGATGTGGCTGAACCAACTGCCAGCCCAAATACGCGCCGTACTCTCCGTCAACACAGAGTCATCACTCGAGATGCTAGCCGCAATGGCTGACAAAATGATGGAGCATTTCGAGCCAGCATCCGTCAACGCAGTCTCCACAGCAACAGCATGTCAAGACAACTTACACATCGCCTTACTGTCGAAACAAATAGAAAAGCTGTCCCTTGAAATCGCCGAACTCCGTACCAACCAGCAGAACTACCGACATTCCCCGCGTTTCCCTCACCGCAACCGTTCACGATCCCATTCAAGATCCAGACATCAGACGCATAACAACATCAAGCCCGGCGACCCGAATTGGGTGTGTCGCTACCACTATAAATTCGGCGACCAAGCACGCAAATGCGAATCGCCGTGTTCAAAAAAGCGGGAAAACTAGAAAGTACATCGTCGTTGGCGGGCGTCGATGTAAACCAAACCAGCCGCCGACTATGTATTATAGACATCAACCTCCGAGAGAAATTTCTTGTCGACACGGGAGCAGACATATCAGTCCTATCAGCAAGAAATAAAAAACATATTAAGCCGGCGAAGACCTCATACAAACTGTTCGCGGCCAACGGTACCGAAATTCGTACCTACGGAGAGCGCACACTCGAGCTCAACCTAGGCTTACGAAGACGATTCAGGTGGACATTCGTCGTGGCCGACGTGAACACGTCTATACTGGGCGCAGACTTCCTAGTACATCACCAACTACTAGTCGACCTGCATCACAGAAAACTCATCGACCGCATCACAGAACTTAGCGTAAACGCGATCAAGATCAACGGCACCGAGCAAGACACCGTCTACATGGTAAACCGCGATCACGCTTATCACGACCTACTAAAGAAATATCCCGATGTTCTGCGACCTATGTCATTGAAGACTCCCATCAAACATGACGTCACACATCACATCGAGACAACCGGACCGCCTATATACTCACGGGCGCGACCCCTACCGCCCGACAGATACAAGGCGGCAAAACTTGAGTTCGAGCGCATGATTGAGATGGGTATCTGCCGACCCTCTAACAGTCCTTGGGCGAGTCCACTGCACGTCGTCAAGAAGAAAGACGGTTCGCTTCGAGTTTGCGGCGACTACAGAAGACTAAACGCAGTTACAGTACCCGATCGATACCCTATACCACGTATTCAAGATTTTACCTACCAACTTCACGGCAAGAAAATATTCTCGAAACTCGACCTCAAGATGGCATACTTCTGGATTCCGATTGCTAAAGAAGACGCACAGAAAACAGCAATCATAACTCCGTTTGGCCTCTTCGAATTCAACTGCATGACATTCGGCCTAAGAAACTCAGGACAGACCTTCCAACGATTTATGCACGAAGTACTACGAGGACTCGACGACATTGTGTTTTGTTTCGTCGACGATCTACTTGTGCACTCGAAAAATCAAGAGGAACATCGACGCCACATCGAAATAGTACTCGAGCGCCTAAATACCTACGGCGTCAGTCTAAACATCGATAAGTGCGAGTTCGACAAACAAAACATCGAATTTCTTGGGTACGAAGTGTCATCAGAAGGAATCAAACCCACTCAAGACCGAATACAAGCAATAGTTAACTACCCAAAACCACAGACAATTCAAGACCTAAGAAGATTCCTCGGCATGATTAACTTTTACCGCAGCTGCTTACCCCATCAAGCCGAATACCAACATGAATTGAATAAATACCTTCATAACACTAAGAAAAAAGACAAGACTCCGATAACGTGGACGCCAGAAGCAGAGCTAGCCTTCGAGAAATGTCGACAAAGCATCCTCGACGCTACTACTCTCACGCATCCGATACATAACGCGCCGCTACGCTTATATACCGACGCCTCAAACACAAGCATCGGCGCTGTACTGCAACAACAAGTAGACAACGTGTGGAAACCACTAGCATTTTTCTCAAAAACAATGAGCGAGACGCAGCGACGTTACAGTGTGTACGATCGCGAATTATTAGCGATGTACATTTCTGTCAAACACCTTCGTAGGTTAATAGAAGGCAACGACCTCACAATATATACCGACCACAAACCCTCACCTATGCACTAACAAGATCACCGAGTACCAGCGACACATCACGAAGAGAACGACAACTTCACTTCATAAGTCAGTTTTGTTCAAATATAAAGTACGTACACGGTGATAACAACGAAGCGGCCGACGCCTTATCACGCATAGAAGAGATCGACCTAACAGAAACATCCATTGACTACAATAAACTCGCTCAAGACCAGGAAAACGATTCAGAACTACAGAGATACATGTCACATCCAAGCCTACAGTTCACCAGTATTTCACTACCCGGAGGTCAACGTCCGCTTATCTGTGAAACATCGACAGGCAACATTCGTCCGTATTTACCCGCGAAATATCGTTTTGTCGCATTCAAAGCGCAACACGATTTAAGTCACCCAGGCATACGTACTACGAGAAAAATAATATCGTCGAAATTCTTCTGGCCGAACATGAACAAAGAAGTCGGAACATGGGCAAGAACATGCATCGGTTGTCAGCGAGCGAAAGTACAGCGGCACACCATCAGCCCGCTCGGCGAGTTCGGAAAATCACAGCGTTTCGAACATATTCACGTCGACATCGTGGGACCACTGCCGCCATCAAATGACTACCGATATCTAGTCACCATGATTGACCGCTGCACAAAATGGCCCGAAGCTATACCAGTACGCGATATCACCGCGGACACAATCGCCAAGGCTATTTACGACGGTTGGATATCGAGATTTGGTTGCCCGCTACGACTTACGACCGACCAGGGAAGACAATTCGAGTCGTCACTGTTTAAGGCGCTTATGAAGAAATGTGGAATAAACAGAATACGCACTACTGCTTTCCACCCTCAAGCAAACGGACAAGTCGAGCGCTGGCACCGAACTTTAAAGTCAGCACTCATGGCGAGATGCGCGCGCACAAACTGGAGCGACGAGTTATCAACTGTGCTACTCGGCCTACGTACAGCATTACAACAAGACAATGAAGTCAGCCCGGCACTCATGACCTACGGTTCAACACTCCGCATACCATCTGATTTCTTCGTGCCTACTCAGCCGAACATCGATGACGCCGAATTCGTCCGTCAGCTGACCGAAACGATGTCTACATTATCGCCGAACAGCAAGCCACACTCAAACTCCACAAGGTCATTTGTACACAAAGACCTTGCTACGTGTACACATGTTTTCGTGCGCAATGACACCGTGCGCAGCCCACTAGTACCTCCCTACGACGGCCCCTACAAAGTACTTCGGCGCGAAAGCAAGCATTTCACCATACAAATGTATCCACGTACTGCAGTTATTTCAATAGACAGACTCAAACCAGCATATCTACTCAACGAAGACGACACCATATCAACATCAGTTACGCGCCAACAACAAGACAAGATACCTACAACGACTTCGCGCCAACAGCGAGACTATGTACCTACCGCAACTGCGCGCGAACAAACATCGACCTATCTACCTACAACTACAAGTAACGACGCACGGACAATGTCATTCACCCCACCCCGCGACGCCTACGTCACCCGCACCGGCCGTACAGTGAAACCAAACGTACGCTTCGCTTAGGGGGGAGTGATATAGCGGCATACATACATACCTACATTCTATGGCATAACCACCACATCACCACACCTCATACCTATTACCAGATTACCTTTACCGTACCTCCTTGAAGAACCAGATTACCGTTACCATACCTCTGAAAAAGTATCCAATATAGGATATTGATAGATAGCTGTTTTCAAATGTTTTAACTTACCTAATTTATGTATATATTTAACGAAAAACAAAATAGCCCTTTTCATAAATTCAGCGTGTTTATGACTGTATCTAGTGAACAACTCTACATGTATCGTTTTTTCTGTTAAGGAATTAGATGGACCCTTGACATGGTCGTCGGAGGTCCAGGGAATCGTCCTCAGTTGCTACTTCTGGGGATACTTCATCTCACAATTACCTGGTAAGTTCATTGTTAATATATCATCACTCTCTTTCAATTCTTAAAATAAAACTGGCTAAAATAAAACTGCCTCTGTGAGGCATAGATGAAATTATTTTTAATGCAGATGAACTTGTCTCGACAAAAAGCATTTGTTTTCTAATCCTCCATATTTATTCATTTATTGAGCTTTATGCTCACATATTTGGTACATAGGTGGACTTATCTACCAGTCTAGTCTTTGGGTGATGCAGAGATGAGTAAAAAACGCTCTTGTTAATAAATCCCTACATTGAAAGATCAATCAAAATCGTAAGAGCCATTTTCGAGAAAATGTGTAACATACATTTTTTTATTTACCAGCCGCTCGGATCGCAGAGCTGTACTCGGCGAAATGGGTGATGTTCTTCAGCGTATTCATAAATGTGGTGTGCACACTACTGACCCCGGTCATGTGTAACCTACACTACTCTGGCGTCGTCCTCATGCGCATCGGAGAGGGAATTGGAGGGGTCAGTATTATTCAGAAATTTGGTATGTTTTAAAAGAAGAATGCTTGATACTCGTACGAGTTGACTTATGCCCGGTTCCTATATTTAACGAATCGTCGTTGTATACGCATTATGACCAAATGACATTACGAATAGTTATCTTGACCGTCTACTGACGGTTAAAATATTTATAGGAACACCACAGACACCATAGATCTCCATACAATTCGCTTACCGACATCCGTTAGTTGCAAACCGTCAGTAAGTTGCACGACGAGACGTTTGTTATAGGAACGGTTTTAGCTTACGAGTCGTATATAAAACTACTATTCGTAACTAAAACGGATCGTTTCTCAATTATAGGAACCGGGCATTAGATAGTCGACATGCCGAGGAGGTCGACTGTCTGAAACAAAGGAATGAATGATGTTTTTCTCCCTACCAGCTCCACCGCGCACAGCTATAGTTATGTGTTACCTAATAAGTTGTATGCTTTTAGACTTTAGCTTATTATCAAAAATATTTAGTATAGTAATCTGTAAAGAAAAATTTTCGCTTTATCTCTTATCCCGTTATTGTGTAGGTATATGAAACAATCAATCCATATTGGCCGTCTAAATTCACACAGAGTTCATTGCCTTGTAAGAATCAATGTACATTATTATTGATTTCAGTATTTTGATTGGTAGCTATATTAGGTGCCGAGTTAAAAAGATAGATGCTTCTTTTATGAGAAAGTGCGGCAAAGGAGCAGACGGTTTCCTTGATGGTAAGCAATAAGCGCCGCCTATGGACACCCACAACAACAGAGGAGTTACGAGTGCGTTGCCGGCGTTTTGGGGATTAGGTTTTCGGATATTTAAGGATTTCGGAAGAATGCGGTACGGGAAGAATTGGGTCTCTGGTAACCTCATTCACATGACGAAACACAACGCTGTGGTTGTTTCATGAAGGTTTATTTCTAGTTATTTTTGTGTGAGTCCGTTCTAGCGCTTTGGTCGAATTGGCACATTCGTCCCGAAGCATGCAATCTCCCACTTAAAAACCTGCAATACCATACGAATCAAAAGTACGCTATCGACCAAATTAAAAGGTTGGAATGTTTATCTTTTATTCAGGGTGTGACATTCCCAGCGATGCACACGATGCTGTCGAAATGGGCGCCGCCCTCTGAGAGGAGTTTCATGGCTGCACTGACTTACGCCGGGACTTCATTAGGCACTGTGATATCGATGCTTATGGCCGGAGTACTCACCGCTAACGTTGGTAATTATTTTTCTGAGAATTGCATTTAGTAAACCTGAATAAGGCATTGATAATATAATTAACAATAATATTGGACTTATGTCTCTATCATTTTTTGTATGCACACGCAATCATCAGCGTCTAAGAACCCATCTTTTTACGTAGAGAAGATTTGAGCAATCGCAACACGGATTGGCGATCTTAAACTTGTAATTAAAGATCAGAAGTCTAGGTTTCATTACAATCTCATTGGTTAGGTACATTTGAAATATTATTGAATGTAAAGAAGTAGAAGGGTCGCATTCAAAGAACCCGCATATTGCGACAATGTCTGAGGACATCCATACATGATGAATGTTTAGATTGAAATGTTGGATTGTGGTGTGGGGCTCGAAGTATAGAAATTCCATTATCATGTCAATTTAACTAATACATTGTGAAGTGCTGTCAGTGGCAAATAAATGTACTTATAAGAACATCACACGTCAATATACCGGGAGAATAAGGGTACTCAAGATTATACAAGCAACTAAACTACAAAAATATCGGTAGGTTAAAATATGGTATGCAAGCATTCAAAAAGCATAAAAACGTTTGTGAAGGATGAAAACCTGTACCTCATATTTATGAGGATTTAAGTGAACCTATCTGTATAAAATATCGGTACAACAAAGTCACCATGTCTTTGTTATTTTGGTAGTTTGTGTTGCGTCTATACATATAGTATATTACACGGTAGTTTCTAATTAACTATTCAAATTCAATACTTTTATCCAAATGTCAAAAACGATACTCTTCTATAAAATTTGTATGAAAAACTAAGGTATGACGTCATAGTTTTTTTGCGTCAAACCGTTTGCTTATTTCTTTAACAATAGTTTAAATATACCTAAATTCCGTGTATCGATCGATTGATGAATAAAAGTATAGTTATTTTACAATATTTTATTGTATTGAAACGTCGAATTAATTTATTTTTGACCTAGGAAACTACCCAATTGAGTATCCCAATGTCCCTATATATTTGACGCTTACTGTACAACACACAGTTAATTTACTAGTCAACCTTTTTACCTCATAGATGATCAGATTTTTTCTTCCAGGTTGGGAAAGTGTGTTCTACGTAATGGGTGGTTTGTCCCTGATCTGGTGTGTGCTATGGGTGGTACTGGTGCAGGACTCACCTCAGCAACAAAGGTACATGAACGCCGACGAAAGGACCATGATCCTTCAAGCTTTGGGTAATCAGGAAGACCAAGGACATAAGGTAAGGAGGTTTTGCATCATTGAGGAGTATTGAAAAAAACAAATTAATGTGTTAGAAAACAAAACTCTCATCATCATCAAGGATCGTAGCAAAGGCCCGAAATATTTTTAGTATCTTGCTGTCTCAGACAACGTTTTTTTTACGGCATTGGTACCTTATAGTAAGTAATCGGCGCCACCCATCGATTTTGGCTTCAACGAGTTACTACAAGTGCGTTGCCACCTTCTTGAGGGTTATATTAGGGACTTTTAAGTGTGGGAGAGCCATGCTTCGGCACAAATGGTTCGACTCGACCGGAGTGATACCACAGCCTCACAGAAAACCGGCGTGAAACAACCACAGCGTTGTGTTTCGCCGTGTGAGTGAGGTTACCGGAGGCCCAATGCTTCCTCTCCCCGACCCTTCCCCAATTCCTAAATCTCCAAAACCCTAATCCCTAAAAGGTCGGCAACGCACTCGTAACTCCTCCGTTGCGGGTGCATTTCATTTGCCCACTTATTACATAAAAAAACTTAACTGTTTAAGGATAGGGGATTTGAGGATTGAAGATGGGGTGGGGAAAGGATTGGGCTTCCGGTAACTTCACACATACGGCGAAAGACAACAAACTTTTTTTGTGAGGGAAAAGTCATCTCATTACTTGTCCAGGTTGAGGCGGGAGGAAGTGTCAGACTCTTACTGACTAAAATGTCCCCATTCCTTCTCCTAGTTTAGGCTAAAGCCGCGGTACCTTATAGCGCTACCCTGGCAAAGACAACATACTATAGTGTTGATTCACGCCGGTATTCTTTGGAATATAACACACTTAGGCCCTAGTTATTCAGGTTATGGTATTGTTTTTAGCAAAAGCATCCGATGCCATGGGGAGCCGTGTTCAGGTCGCCAGCGTTCCTCGCGATCCTGGTTGCGCACACCTGTTCCAACTTCGGCTGGTACATGGTGCTCATTGAGCTGCCCTTCTACATGAAGCAAGTCCTCAAGTTTAACATGACTGAGGTAAGTCCTTTATTTAAGTCATTTATTTTCTTAAAGTTGCTCTATGCTTTGTATATTTTTTAGGATGAGACAGGATGTTCTACTGTGTCATCGGTGCGTTTATAAACATACATTTTCACATACACACATCACATCCAGACCCGGAACAACAATTTGTGGATCACATAAAGGGTTGTTCCGGGCGGGAATCGAACCCGCGACACGTTGCGGGACAGCCTGTTGCCCAGCCACCGCGCCAACCGTGCAGTCATACAAGCCGTAGTCATTAAATATGCTCCTTTGTAGAGTATTTGTTTGTGTAGTGTATGCTATCCAGGGACCATACCAATCTATACATAAAATAAATCTGTAGAGAGGTCAATTCTGTACATTAAATATATTTTCAAAATATCTACCAGGGGGTGATAGGTGATCGATACCACAGTCGATACTGATGCCAAAAATGCAATCAGTAAAATTTTTGTCTGTCTGTCGGTCTGTACGTTCGTTCCTTAGAAACAAAAACTACTCGATGGATTTTAACAAAACTTGGTACAATTATTCTTTATACTCTTGGGCAGGTTATAGGATACTTTTCATCAAGCTATAAATAATAGGAGCAGAGCAGTGAAGGGAAATATTGGGGAAACGGGAGAAGTTACTCCCTTTTTAAGTTTCCGTCGCGTGTGTAGCCTTAATTGTTAAAGTTACATAGAAAAATATGTATGACGAAAATATTCGACATAAAAATCTCAAAAAAATTTTTGCAGCATATGTCTATCTTTTATGGTTAAGTCACAATAGCACGTGTAAAAACGTGAACGTGTAAAAATGAGACTATTAATAACAAATTTTATGTATACCGTTTTGTTCTATTGCTATAGAATGTTTTTTATCAACACAGCACGCGAGTGAAGCCGCTGGCGGAAGCTAGTTTGTTAATAAAATAGATGATTAGATTACTTTTGGTCATATTTTTATGATGATAACTTTTATTTTCTCGTGGAAGTGAAAAGAAGATTATGAGCAACGAAATTTCATCCATTTTAAACAAAAAAACTAATTAATTAATAACGGTGTCAAGTCTACGAAGTAAGTAAATACCTACCTATTATCATATCAGTATTTTTATAATTTCGGATTGGTCGTTATTTTTATTTTTCTAAACGATAATAACAAAATCATAGCACTCTTTACGTATTTTAATTATCTAAGACGCTTAAGCAGGTAAAAATCTTACAGCTATTTTTAAATTCATTAAAATTCAATAGCTGAAGCTATAAATTAGTAACTTCTAGACAAGCGAATGGTCAACGTCGACATGTGAAACAATCAATTCCTACTTACACATAATACCGCATAATGTGATGTTTAACACGAAATGCATTATCATACTAAAGTAGAAACTAGTTTAGTTATTATATTTTTTCTTCCTCCAGCTAAGCTTGGTTCATATTTGTTTGAATCAGTAATGAGGGATTTGTTTTTGTTGATCGTAATTGGCGCCAAAGTAGCATGAAGTCAGCTGCTAAAAGTTAATTGACCAATGGTTATACGGGAGCTAATATTTTATTGGTCGCAATAGTAGCGATTGATTACGTCACCATTCTAAATTTAAATTGCGTATCGCTTTTCGCGCATGTGTTTAGGATCGACAACGTATGTTCATTCATTCTCATTCAGACATAACCAAAGAACTCATTCATTCCGGATTCCGCTGTCAGAGGAAAACAACGAGTGTGTACATTGTTTTATTAATTCCGATTACGAAGTTTATTGTTTATCGATCGGTGTTTATCATTTTCACGCTTTTGGAATATAAAAGGTAAGTTTATTTAACATATTTTATAATAATGGCGTTCAATTAGATGGTACTTACTGAATTATAGAAAACTATGTATAGTGTAGAAATAATGAAATTTCAGATGCGAGACATTAAGAAATATAGATACAGTGTAATAAAATTAAAAAAGACGGGAGATTGCAGCCTGGACCCGTATGTTTGCGTGCCATATTCATGGTTGAAGTCAACGAAAAAACCAGTGGTTGTTAAATATCCTAACGAAGTAAAATCATTGACAGCGTATAGGGTAAAACACTGTGAAGAAAGTCAGCCTGACTGGTTGGAATTTGGCGCCGATATCAAATATAGCACAAGTGAGTGTTTATTTATTATTTACTATCTCTATTTTAAGGCTCTCCATATTTCTTGTTTTATATATCTATCCCTTTCCAAAAATTACGTACTTATTATGTATGATTGATCATGTATGACCTTTCGCCTTCCGAATCTAAGCTTAGCTTGTTATCAGTATTTTCTAGATTATTTTAATGTGTGTTTTGTTTTTATTTTGATTCGCGATTTGAGGATTACTCAGGTAAATATTTTAGTGCTATGTACTTAGATACCGGTACATATTAACGATTGTTTGTTGTTTGTAACTGACATTAAATACGTAGTTTAAAGATATAACCAGTATAAAAAGACCTGTGACTTATAGAAATGTAAAACAGTGAATCATGCTAAATATATTGGTTAATTTAGGCAAGTCTAGTAGGTATTACTAGGCGGGGTCCGAGGGGAGGGGGGAAATGACATTATGTAATAGAGATCACAGTTGTTTAAACATATAGTCTGTCCGCCTGAGAATACTTTTTGCTCATTTTTATCATTTCCAAATAAATAGAAAGATAGGATGGACAGGAAATATCGATTAGAAATAATAACTTGATAACATTGAATGCGCGTGCGCAAGTTTCCGGAATGTAGATTTGAAAGCGTGTGAATGAAGTAAGACATAAAAAAAAATATGTTGTACGAGTGAATTGCTTCATATTGGTAGTATTAAAGTTTTCGTTTACTCGTCTGATGGTAAGCAGACAGCCAAGCCTTCGTACACTTTCAACACCAGAGGCAGGACCAAGCGGTGCGTCCTCTCCGTCGCAGGCGACGCTTTGAGCATCCAGGGGTTGCAGTAGCAAGCGCAAATATGGACCGATTGTATTTCTTGACCTTCTTGAAAGTCGTCGGGACATATGTAGGTACTTCTTCGAGCTGGTCCATTTAAATTGAGAACTCTAATCTTCTAAGTCTATGTCTAGCCTGCCTGGTCTATTATGGCTGGCGTTGTACCAGCTCGTTCTTTTGTTTGTCGATGTCAGCTGCTGCTAAGAATACGATTTTGCTAGGAAGAATTTTAAAGTCAATTCTTTTTTCAGTCACGAACATCTTAACAACAATTCTTATTAATTAGTACTATTGTTCATCTTCTTTATCAAAAAGAACTAGGATGCATGGTCATTCTTTATTGTTCGTGTCTTTTTGTACCTACCTAGTTACCTAGTGTACCTAATTATCTGTGAATGTTCTTATTTAGGTTATATTCAAACATTATGTCTTTACACAATGTATTCAATTCCTGTCGTCGTCTGAATCGATGTTGAAGAGTGAAACGTACCTACCTAATATTTATTTTGTGTTTTTCTCATCTTTTGCAGATTCCTACGTGGATGCACAAAAATGTCTTAGCAAACTTTTACACGGGTATCGAGAGCATAATTCCCCGAAAGGTATATTATTCCATAGACACTTCCAAAAAAAAAACTTATATGGGATAGATATAGATAGATAAGTTAATGTGTGCAAATTATTAAATCATCACTTTTGATTTTAGATAATACGCCAGCAACGGACACTGAAACAAGTCAAGATCTTGAACCCCCTAATGAAACTGAAAATATTGATGTCAAAACATACGGCACTCGTAATAAGACAAATGAAATCCAAACAACTAACAAAACTGGTGATGATGATGATGATAATATGCAAATTGAGGAAATCGTTTCTAAATCACCAGCAATGGGCGAACTTCCACCGAAAACCACTGGCTACAAACAAAAAAATGTTTCTCGCCAAAAAGTTAAAGGAAAGAAAGTTGTTCCAAATCTCATTATAAAGAAAGTGAAACCAACTAAAAATAAATTTAAATCAAAACTTATAGTCAAAACTAAACCAAAGCCTAAAGAAATTGTTGAAAATAAATCATGTACTGAACAAGATAGTTCAGAATTAGACACAACAAGTAATACAATAGATACAGACAATGAAACAGAAGGTGTTAAACTTGACCCTAAAAATATGAGCCTTGATGTCCTTTGGAAAACTATTCAAGATCAAATTTCTGTTATTGAACAGTTACAACAATCAGATAACGAAATTAATGCAATAGTTGATAGAATGTCTACTTCGATTAAAGATGTCGGTACGCTTGAGAGTTTGATTGACCAATTGGAAACTTTGGTAGAACATAACGAAGAGCAAGAAGCAACTGAGGCGGAAACTGTAGAAAATGAAACGGAAGAGTTGGAAAGAGAAATGGTTCAAGAAGAAGGAGAAAAAGATGACGGAAAAGAAGAAGACGGAGATAAAGAAGACGGAAAAGAAGAAGACGTAGGCGAAGAAGACGGAGAAGAAGAAGACGTAGGTGAAGAAGACGGAGAAGTAGTGGTGAAAGATGGCAAACCACAGTCTATAGCACTACCACCTGAATATGACGAAAATGACTCTAGATGGACCTTGAGATACAAGACTCATGCGGATGATTTATTAGAACTAGTAAAAAAATCCCGTATATACGTCAAAACTGATAATCTTGCAGCGATCGTTGTAAAATCACAAAATCCTAAACAACTAGCCCGCAACTTGTTAGATGAAGTTTTCACTCACAATGCTCTGTCGGTTTGTAAGCTTCCTCAAGCAATCTGTGTACCTTCACCCAGACCTGATCTGGATGCTGGAGCTGTAAACGCCTTACTGGATTTCGTTCAAAAGCATACAGGTGTAATGAAATGGAAGAAAGTGAATCCTCAAGACATTAAATTAAGTTTACGCGGTAAACTCTGCTATGCCCATAAGAAATTCGAACAAACAGGTCGATTTACGTAAATGCGAAAAACTGTTAGGTATTGTTCGTATTTCAAAATGCAATTTTTTTTACTTTACCTAAAAGGAAATGGCTTTGGCCTTCTGCTTGTGAGAAGAAACCTTTTTGAATAAAGACAATCACAGGCCGATGATGATAACAGAATTAGGGTTAATGAAGATGTACTTTTTAGAATATTAATTAAACCCCAATATTAAATAGAGGGTGTTATAAGTTTGATATTTACGACGACGTATATTATAGAAATAATTCTGGATGTCTACTAGTCTTATAGTAGGTAGTCATACGAATAAATTAATTGATGTTGGGTTTTTTCAGGTCGTGATTTTTCAATTTATAATCAACATACCATGTAAGCATTTTTTATGAATAGTATTTTGAGTAGCCGTCTATATTAATAGGTTTTGTTTAATAGTAACTATCGTGAGACATACTTAATAAATTGAAAATAACTTTAAACTATACTCACGTAAATAAACTGAGAAAAGCAATACGCGGCGACGTCGCCGCGACGCGCATGCTGCTCATGAATAAGAGTCCCGTTGTGACTTGAAACTAGTTGAGCTTTTCTCTATATAGGTACTCACCCGAGTTAGTCGCTATTTTTTAGTAAATATATTAACAGGTAGAGGTATCGTGTAAATAATTAGATATTGACTGTCACTATACTCGGAATTTTAATTCCATTCCAGATTTCATAATTTCAGTGTTGCAACGTTATGACACGTAATAAATAGTGACGTTGCGAAATTATTCGATGTGGAAATCGAATATTTCTGAATCGATTCCTCTCGATTATAAATTTACTCTCGTAAACTAAGTTTATCCGGAAATAAACCAAATATTTCTGACCCGATAATTTAGTTTTGACAATTAATTAACGATCTGAGACATTTCCTTTGTAATTGTGTATAAAATTAATAAAAATGTGATCATGAAGGAACTGAAAATGAAATTGTCGCCATCATTGCTATCGCTATCGCTGTTACTTTCTGTAACACTTATTATGAATTGTGTCTGTGCTTTTTATTGTCAATTAACATTTCTAGCTTACTCATTTTTTCCTCTTCTTTGACAACATGGGATACGCATTTAGACCATTCGGTAGCCGTAATTTTTTGAATGCCTTCCTGAAACTGATTCACTGATTGTTTATCGATTTTTGTGTTCATCACTACACTGTTATATGTGGTACAATTATTTCATAAAATGACAGTAGGTCATGTCAAATCAGGAATCGAATTAAAATTCTGACTATAGTATTAGATATAGGAAGGTAGATAGGTATATCTACCTACCTACCGTGCGGTTAGTAAGGACCTAGTAAATACCTACTTATTTAATAATTAAAAAAAAAATGTGCATTTATTTTAAAGCCCGCGATCCGCCCCGGCTTCAAACGGGTGCAATGCTAATACTAAATTTCGCCACAATTTAATGGATGTTGTTATACATATAAGCGTTCCTCTTCAATCACTCTATCAATTAAAAACCGCATCAAAATTCGTTGCGTAGTTTTAAAGAGTTAAACATACATAAGGATACAGGAATAGAGAAAGCCACTTTGTTTTATACTATGTAGTGATAATAATTATTATTATGGTGTTTTACCTAAAAAGTACTCGTAATTTACACGTCTCGTGTTGGCCAGTTTGTGGTCGAGTTCGAAACCTGGCTAGTATCAAAGTGAGTTTTTCGGAGATAAGTTTTTTAAGAGACATACGGTGAAGGAAAACATTCGTGAGAAAACATGGACTGATAAAATTACTTGTCATAAGTCTGAAATTGTGAGTCCGCCTTGAGCAAACGTGGTGATTAATGCTCAAACCCTACGTTTAAGATGATGGTTTCGCTCAGCAGTGGGCACATATAGGCTGATGATGTTGATGAAACTCGAAAATTATGAGCCCCGGTATTACTTGTAACTAATATTATTTTATTGACGATAAACATAATCAGGTAATAGTTTGTGGATATTAAACTGTATAAGACTAAAACTTTGAGTCATAAAATTCTTATCAGTTGCAGTGCATTTATTTATAAAATGTTAATACTAAATAAATGTGTTTTATTGACTTACAATTTGGTATCATTTTGTGTCTCCCTCCTGCCTTTCCAGCTGGTCAGTATACATAGCATACGAATGGTGAATTCTGTCTGCCTGATTTGACGTACAGACATGTAGGTACTTAATCAACTTGTATCAGGCTGTATTCTTTTAACTGTACGAGTACCTGATCCTTGAAGAACAGTGGTTTGTAAAATAATGACGATGTGACTTACGATATTATTTTTAAAAAGTTTGCACTCATTTTACAGGTTAAAAAATTGCTTTAGTATTTATGATTATAAATTTAAGAAGTCGAATTAAAAAAATAATAATTGAAACTGTATAATAAAATAGTGATTCAAATACTCATAACAGATGGCGCTGGTGTCGAAAATGGCGTCTTTCTCTTTTATAACACGGATATTATGACTCTCAATTTCAGAATGCGTTGGCAGTGTCTATGCCGTTCCTGTCTCTCTGGTTCTTCAGCATGATCCTCAGTAGGACTCTGGACTGGTTGCGCGGGAAAAAGTTCATCTCCACTTCCACGGCGAGAAAGATTGCCACTATGTTCGGTGAGTCACTATGTACCATCTTAACTCCAAAGAAACTTTTATAATCGATTAGTATAAAGAAGAATCGAAAGAAATGAAGACATATAGAAATGAAAGAAGAATGCGTTTTTAAATTGTTATTAGACATGAACGTCAGGAACAAAAAAAATATACAGTATAAAAAGTAACAATTACTTAACAGGTTTAAAAACAAAGAAAAAGTTTTGACCACCGATTCCAATCGGGCATCAATTGGGTTCGGTGGCCAACTCAGTAAAAGCTGGGCGCAATGAGCACCCAACACTGATTTGAAAGTTGATTGTGATGTTGACGTGAGTAAGTCATTATTTTCAATAAAAAGAATAGAGTTGATTGTTAATTACGATGATGGTCGATGATGGTGTCCAAGTCAATTAGTTTTTCTGTTAGTGAGCAGAATTTTTACTGATATTTCAAATGTAAAAAAAGGCTAGACTATAGAGGGAGATTAGGAATTTCCCAAAATTATCGTATCTTTTACGACTTTACAGTAGTTTTAGTGTGGTTTGGAAGGTTTCAGAAGGGAGGAGAACTGGTTTTGGAAGGATAGTCCTATTAAAAAAAGCAAATATGTCAAGAAAATCAAAGCATATTTTTGTATGTTCCAGCATCGCTTGTGCCGGCAGTATGTCTGCTCGCTATCTGCTACATCGGATGTAACCGCAGCGCGGCCGTAGCGCTCATGACCGTAGCGGTCACCTCCATCGGCGGCATGTTTTGTGGTTTCCTGTCAAACCACATCGATATTTCGCCCAACTTTGCTGGTAAGTTAAAATTATACTTAGAGAACCTGTCTGTTGCTGATCTCCAGTAGATATAAGCGTGGGTCTGTGGGGGGCGTACAATAGTAGTTCGCCGCCTGCAGACCACTTCAAAGAGCCAATAGGACACCAAAGATAGTCTTATCTGTCTTATGAGGACCCCTGGAGCCGGAGTGGTTCGATTAGAATGAAATAAAAGAATGGTCCGACTTGCTACATTTTGGATGTCCGCGGAAACTAGACTATGGCAAGTCCAGATCAGGCCATGAGATAAAAGGGGGTTGTTTTTACTTAGTAAGAGATCAACAGTCCACGAATACCCAGGGTGGGAAAAGTGATTGGACGACATTAACCTTTAAAATAATATTTTTGTAATAATATGTTTCTGTTTGCCAGGCACACTGATGGCGCTCACCAACACCGTGGCTACTATTCCTGGCATTGTGGTGCCTATTTTTGTAGGCTACGTAACGGACGGCAATGTAAGTTTTTCTTATTTTATTTATATGATATTATTTATTAGATGTACCCTGCGGTTTCACCCACGTAGTTAACAGTTGAGATAATGTAGTTTCTAAACAATGAAATAACTTTTCAAATTGGTCATAAGTAAGTAGATTCGAAGCTTATTTAATCCCAACAGATAAAGAAACAATCTTTTCTTTTTAACCGACTTCAAAAAAAGGAGGAGGAGGTTTCAGTTCGATTGTTTTTTTTATGTTTTTTACCTCAGAACTCCGTTGTTTATGGACGGATTTTTTTTTTATAAAAGTATTGCAAATGTTTTCATTAAGTTTTGTTATTAAGACGATAATCTGGGTAGGTTTGTTAATAAGGGATTTTCTGTCTTTTAATTCTACATTACAATTAAGGATGAAATGAGGGGGATTTCAATTAATAATTTTTAATGCATCTTTTTAACTAAAATTTATTTCGAATTCCAGCAAACTATATCAGCTTGGCGCAAAATATTCTTCACAACAATAGGGTTGTACGCAATTGAATTAGTGACTTATACAATATTCGGTTCTGGCGAGGAACAGCCCTGGAATAAGGTGGAAACGGAGACAGAAGAAAGGGAAACGAAGCCCTTAAGAAAATAATGGAACTGAGGGAATCTCTACCCTAAATAAAAAGGGTATAAAGTTAAAAATGGCAGAAAAATGTCAGAAAGATATTTTAGTTAATTATTATTATTATCACTAAAATGATGTTACGTATATGTGTCTATATTTTATATTCATCAAAGTATATAAGATAAGCGCTGATTCATTGTACTTATATATCTTTATAACACTAGTCTACAGATCTATAATAAATCTATAATACAAGGCAGAAGAATGTCCTATCTTATAACATATTGTCTCATAGATTTTATTGAACGAATGTCTATCACTACCTGATTGCTTACCATCAGGTAATCCATCGGCTCGTTTGCCGAACTATGACATAAAAAAATGTCATAACCTCAATCCAAAATTTGCGTATTAAGTATCTAAGATGTTTAACAACTCGGGTGGATAGTTATCTATATTTTTTCGAAGAACGGACCACTTTATACTTCTTCCTTTTTTCAGTTAATTCACGCAAGTCGTTGTTTTCAATATCGTGTTTCAAATAAAAGGTTAATTTTAATTTTCATTTCTGTATAAATATGTTTTAAGCTTTAACTGTCTAGGTAAATTAGATAGGCCACCTTTTATTACATTCATAAGGAGCTAGAAAAATAATTAGTTAAATATCTATTGCAAATTACATTTTACTTAGTGTATCCTTTTAAAATATAATTATAATAGTAACATTTTGTTTCAATGACATATTATTTACGAATTAATATGGCTTTTTTACGAAATTTTGTTATACGCTTATATTTTATTTGTAGGTATTATTTGCAAACCGATTTTTCTTTTTTTTTGACTAATCTATTTTCTTAAGTAACCTAAGTAATGTTACTTTTATAAAGATCGGGACAAACATTATTTAATTTAAATCAAAATCGATTACTTACTGTAAACTGAAGAGCTAAATGTGTACTGTTTAAGTATTTAAGAGTGATCTCACAGGTAGAAGAATTTTGTTTTGAAAAAAATCAATAAACTATATTTTCATATATACAAAAGTATTACAAATTGAGACTGTATTTTTTTATTTTTATAACATTTATTCTTATCTTGAGAAAATAGCATGATATCTCGTGCGTAAAAGTGACATATCGAATAACTACTCTCATATTTATTTTGCGCAAACAATTCTGTTTTGCGCAAACAATTCTGTTTTGCGCAAACCAATCAGCGTGTTGCGCAAACTGATCTATGACTTGAGCAAATCATGGCCAATTACATTATATTTTTTCAAATACTTTGTTATTAGATTTAAGTGTACCAAATGTATTTTTGTACTTGCTCCTCAGATAATAAAGCTGAATATTGACTGAAAAAACATATTCTGATATTTATAATGCATTTAAGTGGTAAAGACTTGTGTTTTACTTTTTTTCATGATAAACGCTTGTTATATCAATTTTATTGTAGATTAGCTTGCCAAAGACAATGTGTGTACTTATATAACCTATAAATAAAAGTTTTTATGTCTATTTTAAATTTTGTTTTATTCATAAAATATAATTATTTACAATATTTACAAGGATTACCTTTCAAAACGGAGTAACACCTTACTATCGCATACGTATAAGTTTGGCGATATATGACGGTCCGAAGTTGGCGCCGACAGAAGGCGTCACTAGCTGGCCGTATTTAGGCGCCGCGGAACCTGTGCCTAGAACTAGCGTGCTGGTGAAGCCTGACATCGTCACTGACATGTTCCTGGAAAAAAATAAACGACATGGTAATAATTGTGTAGTTTCCTAGGTCAAAAATAAATGAATTCGACGTTTCAATACAATAAAATATTGAAAAATAACTATACTTTTATTCATCGATCGATCGATACAATAAGTTTTAGATTTTTTTAGCTAATTATTAAGAAATAAGTGAGCTATTTGACGCAACAATGTTATGACGTTATAACTCAGTTTTTTATACAAATTTCATAGAAAAGTATAGTTTTTGACGTTTGGATAAAAGTATTGAATTTGTCTAGTTGGAAACTACCGTATTCTTTACACAGAAAAAATATTCGAAGTTAAGGAGGTGAGATCAGTTAATCTTAAAGTCATCAAAGTTAGATAGAATCATTTACAGATTGATAATATTTATAAATATGCCATCAAAACGAGATGTGAAAGTGTGGGAGAGCCAAACTTCGGCACGAATGGGTCGGCTTGACCAGAGTGATACCACAGCCTCATAGAAAATCGGCGTCAATCAACCATAGCATTGTGTTTCGCCATGTGATTGAAGTTAGTTACTGAAGGCTCATGCCCTCTCCCTCCCATATCCCTTCCCAATCTTTAAATATCCGCAACTCTTAACCCCAAAAGGCCGGCAACGCACTCGTAACTCCTTTGGTGTTGCGGGTGTCCTTGGGCGGCGCCGATTGCTTACCATCAGGTAATCCGTGCGCTCGTTTGCCGACTTACCCCATACAAAAAAAGTTTCTTATTGTTCGAACTTTATAGACATTGTTTTTTTGTCGCAAAAATAACCCTTAACATTAAGTAATAAAGTAGAAAGTCGCATGTAATACTCACTTGACCTTAACGATAATGTTATTATTCTCGAATGCTTGCTTCATCCCCATGTGGACGACTCCGTCGTTTTGTATGGGGCTCAGGGAACACGTGGAGTACACCACTGTCCCGCCGACCTTCACCAGCCGAAGAGCATTACTGGAAATATATAAAAAAATTGTTTTCCACCTACCAAAAAAAAAAAAAAATTTGGGAAAAATTTACCATTTCCTTGTTAGCGAGGTGGTTGGACCCGTGTGAAGTGGGGACGGGTTGCTAGTCGCATATAAAAATCAACTTTATCCCCACGTATATAGAGTCGAGATTACTTACACTAGTAACTGCGACTGCATCTCAGGTATCCGGAGCCTCTCCTTGACTCTGTCAGGCCTGAAGATGTTGTTCTCATCCTCGTTTATCGAGTGTCTGTCTGTGGTGCATGGAACGTCTACTAGGACCTGGAAATTATAGTATTTATGTTAAGAAAGTGTCGTGGTGGCCCGGAGGTTAAGGAGCCCGCTTCTCATGCATGAGGGTGTGGGTTCAAATCATGACAAGTACCAATGTAACTTTTTCAGAGTCATATGTACTTTCTATGATTATTTAGACACCACTGACATACGGTGAAGGTAAACATCGTGAGGAAACCTGGACTTATAATTTCTAATTATAAGTTTGAAATCGCCAACCCGCATTGAGCAACGGTGGTGACTAATGCTCTAACCATCTCCGTGTGAGAAGAGACGTTTGCTCAGCAGTGGGCACTTATGAGCTGATGTTAAGAAAGATGACAGTTTTTTAGGGACGGTTATGACGTTTTATTTTATATTAGCTTCTGTCCGCGACTTTGTTCGCGTGGAATATTGACTTTCTGCAGATTTTTGGTTAAAAAACTATCCTATGTCCTTTCTCGAGTTCCAAACTATGTCTGTACCAAGTCAAAAATCATTTATCCCAATTAGACCCTTACAGGCACTTTTGAACGTCAAACATCCAAATTTCACACACGTAGTTTAGGTGTGAATAAAAGACAGACAGGCAGACAGATAGAGTTACTTTCGCATTTATAATATTAGTTTGGATTTATTAGTCAGGAATACTTTTACAGGCTTAGTGTTAATTTCAACCGGGTTTGTATGGCGCTTGAGTCAAGCTCCGTAATGTACCGTGTCCTCGTCCTGGAGCAGCAAAAGAAACAGGGAGGTTTTTAGTCAGTAAGAGTCTGACCCTCACTCTCTCCCCGAACAGAGCGCGAAAAGTAATTTTATGATATACGTCTATCAAGTAATAAGCGCCTATTTAACTAACTTTTCCATAATAGCTCATACAAATTAATCTATACTAATATTATAAAGAGTATATGTATGTAGGGTATCTTTGAAAGAATTTAGGCAATCCGACCAGCGGTTCCAAAGATTACCCCCTTAAAACTTACAAACTTAAAATACCTTCCTCGATAAACGGACTAACAGACACAAAAACCGTGTACTCCTTAGCTATAAGTATAATATTAGAATACATATGTATAATAATTTATACGTCTTACTTTATCAAAGCCTAGATCATCTGTGTAGAGTCGTCCATCCACCCTCTTGAAGATGACACGCTCCCGCCATTTGTTGCTCGTTTCAAAATCAAACAAGTATTCGCGGAACGATCGCTGAATTCTGAAATATAATAAATGTGGGATTTAGTGGCAAAATATAAGCTATGTAGTACACCAAATTTGATTTTTTCTTCTTAAATTGCAAAATCCTGAAAGACCAAAAATATTCTTCTTCTTCAGTCTTTCGTCATATCTCTCTCTTTATTCATTCCCCCATCACTCTTCATCGTACATAGTAGTTCATACATCCGTCCTGCTCATTCATACGTTTCCTTTCACTCAATATTCAGTCCACATAAAAATATGATGAAAATAAAACAGAACCGAATGCATAAAAAATGTGAAGCCATTCAAATTAACGGGCCGTGGTCGTGAACGGGCCCAGGCAATTGGGACTGGTCAGCTCTGAACTGTTTAAATACATTTTACTTGACGTTTTCTATTCCTGCAAGTAGCTCCACTAGAGAACTGACCGGCAGACTGTTTTTTTTTATCTCAAAGCTTTTTTTAAACAATTAAGTGTGGGAGAGCCAAGCTTCGGCACGACCGGGTAATCCAACGGTCTCAAAGAAAAACCGGCCAAGTGCGAGTCGGGCTCGCGCACAAAGGGTTCCGTAGCAGCAAATATAATAAACTTATTATGTCAATTTATACACCTGGTGAATGGAGCCTAAACTCTCCCGATATTTTGCCTTGTACTCTTATGTATGAATATTAATTTTATATATGTATTTATAAATATTCCGTGCTATAGGCGTGCCCAAATCGGCTTGTGATAACTGAATAAAGAAGTATATACACCAGCTTCACAATTAAAATTACCAAATATATTATCCAGGTGAGTTTCACCTCTAGTGGTTATACAATTTTGGAGAAGAGGTGTATATCCCGCATTCTGTTGAGAATGTTAAAGTTGTGCATTTGGCAACATAGCAAAGTTGGAGTTGTTAACTCTTCTCAACCAATCACATCATCTTCGATATAGTTATTATAATTCAGAATGTAGGAAAACGTATTATCTAAAGTATCCATTGTTAGATGATATACAATAAGCTTTAGAAATTTTAAAAACCTGCTACGAAACACTAAAATTTGCACCAAAAACAAATGAATTTATATTATTGGGGGATTTATTAGTACGTGACCGGTTTAATAGCACCTATTAAACCAGTATACCTACTTACTTATTTTTTATAATAGGTACAATTCAATATTAAAAAGTCTCAACGCCAAATTCGACTTGCGAAAGAAGTAAATGGGAACGATGAAATTCTCTTAGCGCGCACAAGTGACAACGACGTCTGCCCTCACGTGTCTGCCCGTTCGGGTCGACGCGGTTAGCTATCTTATCCCCGCCCCCGCGCGAGACCACGCCCCGCAACTCACGCGCTGCAGCGCAGCGAGCGACCGATCTTCTTGAATCGATGTAATAATAATCTATAGGATTAACGCGTTTTAAAAATATTGGTTCGATGGATATGTTTAACCTATTATTACTCAACAATCACATTTGTAATATTAAACTTTATCAAATGCACAATGTATTTAAGGTACATTACTGGATAAGGATTAATGGCGTATTGCTTGAATAAGCTAATATTTCTCGTAAAAAGTACCTACATTATAAAGATTTTATATCATCGCGGATTTTTAAAGGTGTACAATACTGTAGTATAGTTTTTGATCTATCTTATAAGGTTCAGCCTTCGTTTTCAGTGTAAGCACAATAACTTAACCAAAATTACAGTTAAATCAACCTATCTCAAAAACTATAAGAGATACTTTGATCAAACCAAAAATCGTTGAAAGAGTTAATTAGCATGCATCACCTCTATTTTTTTTAGAATTTTATACCCCGTAGTTATAAAAATAGAGGGGGGGGGACATACTTTTTACGACTTTGAGAGCTGATATCTCAAAAACCGTTCACTTTAAGAAAAATGTTTTTTAGAAAACTTTATATCATTTTAAAAGACCTTTCCATTGATACCCCACACGGGTATGTACATCGAAAAAAAAATTTTCATCCCTTAGTTACATGTATGGGGGGCCCCACCCCCAATTCTTTTTTTTACTATTTAGTGTCATAATTTTGTAGCGGTTCATACAACACATATTCCCATCAAATTTCATCACTGTAGTACTTATAGTTTCCGAGTAAATCGGCTGTGACAGACGGACAGACGGACAGACGGACATGACGAAACTATAAGGGTTCCGTTTTTGCCATTTTGGCTACGGAACCCTAAAAATGGCGTGAAACAACCACAGCCTTTTGTTTCGCCGTATGAGTTAGGTTACAGGAGGCCCAATCCCACTCCATCCCCCATGCATCCCCTTAAATATCCTAAACCTTTATCTTTATAAGGCAACGCAATCAACAACATCTTCTTTGATCTTGCGGTTGTCCATGGGCGGCGCTGATTGCTTACCATCAGGTAATCCGTTAGCTCGTTTGCCGACCCATTCCATAAAAAAATGTTAAATATACGTAAAAGTTTTAAACATTTTAAAATAACTATACAATTAACTTTTATATAATTATTTGTTAGACATTCAGAAGTACCTATAATGATAAGATTGACATAGATTATTTGACTTTAATTCATCATTAGGAAAAGCTATGACACTTACCTATTCAACCTAGATATAGAGATATCGTTACACACGACTATGTCTGGCAGTAACGTCTGTAGTGCGACTAGAGCTTTGCCCCCGGGGGCTGAGCAAAGGTCGAGCATCCTGTCACCGGGGCTCAAGTCCAAAGCTAGCACTGGGAGGATGCTTCCACAGTCCATTGGGTAGTAGTTGTAAACTCCTGAAATATGTACATGACAAGAATTACAATCCAGGAGAAATATAAGTTCTTATGGCTCATGTTGACCGGAGTGACACCATAGCCTCACAGAAAACCGGCGTGTAACAACCTCAGCGTTGAGTTGCGCCGTGTGACTGAGGTTACCTGTAAATCTGTAATCCGCAAAACTCGTAATGATGGCTTACCATCAGGTAATACGTTTGCTTGTTTGCCATCCTATCTCATAAAAAATATATACTTAAAGATATTGATATTTTTTCATGGGATTGGGATGAAACAAGCAAATGGCTAATTGTAACCATCCTTACCAAAAGACTCTAATAGTAATAACACACCAAAAATAAAGGAACCAATAATACGCAATTACGATAGAACATACAAGAAATCAGTTTGGAATTGACGAAAAACCTAAGTTAACAATGATACAATCGCCAAAAAAGAAATACCTGTTTGACATCTTTTTGGTTCTGGAAAAGTGGTTTGGTCACTGTCCATTTCATACGTGAAAACTTTCAAATGCTCCGGATACTTTAGCGGGCCATCTGGTTCTATTATAAACGGGAAATCTTTCTCCTCTGAAATTTAAACAAGAATAAATATTATTTCAATTTTTTATTTGGATTTAAAATCCTACTACTGTAGGATCCATCCATCATCATTTTGATTAAGTAATTTTCCCGTCCTTGTCACAGGTAACAATTCCTTTAACTATAACGATTCCTTGTAACAGGTGCAATTATACATGGAAAAATAATTAAATAGAAACAATAAAAAAACGCGGTGTACGGTGAGTTTGGTGTCATTCATCAAAGTGGTTGTCAGCGATCGGCGGCTTTCATTAGAGCCTTAATTCCTCTAGATATATGAGATTTTGAAATGTGACGTCACAAAACATAGGACCCCCCTTACCCCTTTACACAATTTGCTAACCTCCCAACTCCTTTACGTGTGACGTACTTTATGGATGACCCCGTAAAGCAAATATAGACATTATTATAAATTAAACAGACAATTGTTTCGTGGTGGCCTGGAGGTTAAGGCGCTTCTCATGCATGAGAGTGCGGGTTCGAAACCTGGCAAGTACCAATGTGACTTTTCTGAGTTATATATACTTTCTATGATTACTTAGACACCACTGACATCGTGAGGAAACCTGGACTTATAATTTGTAATCATAAGCTTGAAATTTCCAATCCGCCTTGAGCAATCATGGTGATTAATGCTCAAACCTTCTCTGTTTGATGATGATGATTTGATAAAACTTGTGTGTCATCAATAAAATGGGAATAATATAAAAACAAATACACTTACTGGAATAATAAGAATAATGCACAGACTCTGGGACCCACTCATCCATTCCCTTCAGCTTAGTGGCTGGTAGAAACTGGTAGAGAGACTCTGAAGTCATACCCATTGACGGGTCTATTATCCTAGACTCATCTATCTTGGCTTCTGCTATAGATTCATCCAGGGTCTTGGTTGGGAAAGTCCTGAAAGAAGAAATTCTTTTTTGTTTGAATTTATCAAAATGCCTGTTAAAAACTACGTTTTTTACGTATAGGTCGGTAAATGAGCAGACAGGTTAGCTAATGATAAGCAATCAGCGCCGCCCATGAACACTTGCAACACCCAAAGTTAACAAGTGTGTTGCTGGCCTTTTAGGGATAAAGCTTTCGAATTTTTAGGGATTGGGAAGGGTTGGGGGAAGGTGCAGGGCTATATGTGGCTTCCGGTAACTTCACTGACACGGCGAAATACAAGGCTGTGGTTGTTTCACGCCGGTTTTCTGTGAGGCCGTAGTGCTACTCCGGTCTAGACAACCCATTTGTGCTGAAGCTTGGTTCTACCACACTAAGGTTGTTCTAATTCATATTAAAAGTATATTTGAGTGTGGAAAAGTTACCATGATGTTCTATCATGTGTGACTTAGCACTGAGAGTTTTTACTTATAATATTATAAAGAGTTTGAATATTTCATTTGCAACATTCCCTTCAACATTAAGTCACAATCCAGGAAAAAGTATAATATTTTGTGTTACCTTTCTAAATAAAGACCTTATACACAATATAATGAATTTTAAAAAAATAACTTACATTTCTTGGTTCACCTTTTTTACTTTGACTTCTTCACCATCCTCCATATCCAATTTCTCAGGTTTGTTCTCAGAATTAGGATAAATGCTGGATATTTCATCAGTCTGTTGTCTTTCCATATAGTCTGTCAGCCTTTCTGATTGTTTTTCTGTCTCAACAACTTGTGTAGGTTCAGAAATAATGTTATATTCTTTATTATATTCTTGCTGTATTGTTATTAACTTTTTCAGGCAGTGGGCTCCTGGAAGGTCAATTTTATTGTTGTTGTACTGCATACTTACTGTTTAATATCTCAATATATTAAAAATGGTTTATTTTCAAGTGTTTCCTTGCCAATAACAAGGAGATTATAATTAGCTTTTATAGTAGGTAATTGCAAAAACCAAGTGTTTTTATTTTTTTAATTAGTTTTGCAATAATTCACTGTGATATTTAAGGTTTGTTATTCAATAATTAGAGGTACAAAAGCAAAACTGTTAGCAATATAGAAAGATATATGACAGTAAGCCATTACTTATTTAACTTGTGAATAAAACTACGATGAGAAGGAGATTTTAGATTATTTACCTCTATTAGTAAGTTCTTCCATTGTTTTATCGGCATCCCCGTAATTATTCACAAGAGCGACATATTTTGATCGCCGCAACATTGCCTCACGCATTGCCTGCCATTTAGCGTCCCCAAACACGGAAGCGTAGAACTCATCAAAATGATTCAACGCTTTATATTTAGGACCAGTCTTTTTCTTCAACTTGGACTGTAAATTGAATTATACACATTAATTTTAATACTATTGCAATAAAAAGTTTCGTTGTGTTTCAATAAGTATTTACCCAATGTATCTTGGTTTTGTAACGAGCCTGCAGCACTAAACATGAAGTTACACATGAGCTTTTATAAATATTTGATATATTGAACATTTTGAAGATTATTTAAATGTATTTTCATTAATATCACATAACAACAATAATGTTTTTGAGGTTACTTTACTATTTTGAGCTCGTACTCTCGTAGATTGTGACTTTGACGTTTGCGTTTAGAAGTTTTGAACCTTTTGAACCATTGAATATGATTTTTCAAATTTTTGCTGTGTCCTAAAACAACTGTGCATTAAATAATCCAAATGGTGAAAGTAATTAAAGAATCTACTGTAAGTTTTTTTTTGTCACGTGAAATTGAAATCTGAGCAATTTTATAAAATCTATTAGATTAAGAACGCAGCTTTATGGATGTCAAATTGACATTATCAGACTGAAACAGAAATGTCACGCCTATCTCCTCGCACTTGCGCCCGCGAATACCAAATTGAAGTATTGATTTGTTTACAAGTAGCAGTGCTCGGAGATTTCTCGAGTATCTTGCACTATAGCTATATCCTACAGCCTTGTCAGATGTGAAGATAATATCCCGCTTAATTACTGCCTTCCGTGTCAGACTTTATCAGTGGTCGGTGCCAGCTGTGAGCCTTCCGCGAGTTCGTTGGTTTAAAAGCTAATTACAACAGTTTGGGGCGAGTTGTTTTATCGATCACTCGCCCTTCCGTGCCCCGCTCCAGCGGTGTTCTCCAACCCTCTACGAGACTTGATAAGGATCTGAGAATGTGCGACGAAATGATGTATGTGTATGTGAACGATTTTATCCAAGAATTGGGTCATCGATGAGTTTCTTTCAGCGGGCGGCGGGCGCGCTGACGCGGGGTATTCGCGCGGGACACTCGATAATGGTTGTTTATTTATTAGAGGTGTAGTTACGTCTCCCAGGCAATGGAAAGTGCAGTGATTGTGTTTTGAGGGGTATCAGAAAACAGTAGTCATGTATGGGATGTTGTTTGTTGGCTCACTGGCGGGTAACAAGGTGGAATGGATAGCGGCAGGCTGGAGGCGGCCCCTTCCGGGGCGGTACACTTGGACACAGTGAGGGCCTTGCACCAGACTGTAGTCTCACTTAGAACTGCACTTGAGGTCTCCAAGAATGAACTGAAACAGTTAAAAGAAAAATATGAACAGCACTCTCATTGTTTAGAATATGCTGATGTTATAGAAAAATTGACTTTGGAGAACCACATTTTGAGGCGGAGGATTATAGAATCTGATTATCAAGAAAAGGAACCTGATGCACAGAACATAAAGTTGGAAGTTACTTATAGCCCTAATACACATAATATTGAAGAGTTCACAAGTAGTGAAGTGGTGATTGCAACTGCTACAGACAGGAACAGCACTATTGATGAGTTAGAGCCCATTCCTCAGGAATCTGATGAGAATAGCAATTTCTGTTCGGCTGAAAAGTTGAATGAGATCCCAGAGGATGTAGAACAATTTTCTGAAGCACCAGAGTCTCCTGCATTCAATGAGTCTGCAGAGTCAGTACCCCCTGATGATGTAAATAACAATACAGAAGTAGGAGAAATCTCTCAGGTCTCAAGTTTGCCCAAAGAAACTGAGGAACCTGAAGAACTCCATCAACCAAGTTTTAAGACTAAGCTTGAACTACTATCAAAGTTTGATGTACGAATTAAAGTGCGGACTTTGAAAGAAGGTACAATTGTTTCTAGCACCACATCAGACAGCGATTCTTCTGAAGACAGAAGAGCCTTTGAGAAAGATTCTGCAGTATTTACTGGTCAACATTTTCAAGAAAAAAAGGGACAGATTGATAATAAGACAGTGAATATAAAGTCTATGACTACAGACAACGTCAGGATGGCTGTCCCAAATGAAGCAGATGTTAAAAGCAAGTCCGACAAGTTTGATGTCCAAGTGAGGATAACCTCGGAGGAAAATCTTGTTGTGAAGGAAAATATTGAGAGGAGCAGAAGAAAGGAAACGCTGAACTTGGATGTTGATGATTTGAGTCTTAGGTGAGTTAAATATTTCTTTTCTCGTTACTTACTGTATTTAGATTTATATACTTTTTTAAAGACAATCTGATAAATACCTAGATTAGCCATTCACCATTTTGCACCACTTATACAAACACCAGGGTCGCTGGTGCAAGCGCAATAATGTACCGCGGCCTCCGGCCCCGACCCTGAGCAGGAGAAAAAATTTGTTTGTTTTTGGTCGGTAAGAGTCCGACACACCCTCTTGCCTCACCCAGGACCCCTTCAAAAAAATAACATTTATTTTGTTATATTGTAAGTGATTAATGGAGATTACTATATTTTTTTAGTTGTCTTTTCAAGTTCAACACTACAGTCTATACAGGTATTGAGTTTCTATGATAAAAAACTCAATAACTTCTTTCACTTTCAAAAAACGTCCCCACATATATGATACGCATTTACGATCATCATCAAATCGACTCGACTTTGGTGGTCTATAGACTTTTTGAAGCGCGCGCTAAACGCTACGCGTCGTACGCTCGGGTCTGGTTTTGGTCGGGCGGCGAGCTACCCTCATCCACCGTCATCTCTCGATCGCCGACGCCCTGAGTGTTGCTTACTGCGGCGGATGGGGCGTGAGGAGGAGAATAGCTCTCTTACGCGCCTCCTTCTTTGTAAGCATAACATCTTTGAAGAAAGAGGAGACAGCGTCCCAGTTCCTGTTGACCCGCACCATAGCCTCGACTATGGCCAGGCGCGAAAGGTCCTTGTTTCCTTGAGGACACGGCGGTGCTCAGCTCAAGCAGGGCACACCGCAACCGTATGTCTCACCGTTTCCTCTGAGTGGTCCTCCCAATAACGAATCCCCGGGAGTTTCCTCAACAAAAACCTACCGATGATGCCGTGCCCGGTAAGCACCTGCGTCAGGCAGAAGGTGAGGACGCCGTGGCGTCTCTCAAGCCACTACTCAAACAGGAGTCTAACCGTTGCTATTAGAGCGTGGAGTAAGTCACTCCTAAGTTTGAAGTTTCAAAGTAGTCTGCCACGCCACCACGCCTGATTATGCGGTGGGTAAACTTGTTGTGGCCAAAAAAGAAGAGACTGTAGTCTCTTCTTTTTTGCCCACCAGCCACCACTTAGTTCAAAAAAACGTCATGGCTATGGCTAAGCAACGATGACCGAAAAGACCAGCTTTTTAGTCCCTCTTTAGTGCCATCTCTGTCAAGAAACTTATTGTTCTACTATCATCCTTTCCTCGTGTCATGCCTTTACTCATGTGTAAGCTGTGTAACAGACATCTATTTACCTAGAAATAAATTTATTTCACTAAATTGATTAAGCAGATTGACGCCGAATCTCTATGCTCCAGTCTTCAACGTCAAGAAACCGTTCAGTTCTATCATAATACCAATGTAAGTCACAAGCCCTAATCCGTTTAGTTGACTCTAGGGATATAGCTGAATCCGGTCACTGGCAAACTGAAATACAAAATGGAAGCAAATAAGATTAGCTTTATAAGATTTGACGTGAATAGAAGTTGTATAGCACAAAAATACTCTGGAGGCGTCTTCGTAGGTGGGTGAACGCCCACGCTTTTCGACGCCACATTATTTTTGCATCACGTGGGCTGAGGATTAGTTAAAGTGGGTTTGAGACGTATGTCGGCAATAAATTGAGCGTTGTAAGTTTTCTCTTTTGAACCATTAATTCTGTATCAAGGTTTACTAGGTTTTACTGCCTCATAAGTCTAATTAATATCCAGCCAGAAACGCTGGGTGCAAGTGCAATAATGTCCCTTAGCCAAGGTTTGGAGAAGGAACGGGGGGCCGTTCTTTCTCCTGCTCTTAGGAGGCTAGGCTAGGCTAGGCTTTAATATCCCAGTCTGTCTGAGTCTGACACTTCCTCCAGCGCCACCCAGGCCAGAAGGAGCAAATGGATAACGTTTCGCTTCAAAAAGAAAATGGCGTCTGAACTGAACTTAAGTTGGGTAGGTGATCCTTCTCCAACACTTTTAACGATACAGTAAAGTTTGTTAGTTTGTTATAAACATATGTTTTAACTTCATAAGTTCTTCATCATCAATGATATGCAAAAAAGTACTCTAAAGTAGTACAAGAGATACCGCTTAAAAAAACTTATCAGTTTTCTCATTACCTTATTATGCAAACTGAGATTGGACCGTAGTTTATTCAAATTCAAGAGCGCGGGGCCTAAAACTCAAGATCCGTGACAGCCAGGTAATGAAAACAGGGTCGCTCTAAGAACAACTTGATTTAATTCAAGTATAAGGAAAACACTTCTAATAAAGTTGCTTGCCTTTTAGGACTGATTACGTCTTGATATTTATTATTTAAGCCTATGGATCACATTTCCAATTACCAAAATAAAACTCCTGTTTCTTTTATTAAGGTCTCAATCTCAACGCTATTATTACCAAACAAACCTTATTCTTTTGAGATTTCTAAATTAAATGTAGATCAGTGCGCGACACACTCAAGGGAGTTGACGACGACGACGACGACGAGAAATTCAATCAAGAAGCCATCGAGATCTCGCTGTTTGTTGTTATGCCTTGCTTTTTATACAGACGATAATTTGAAAATAACATTTATCCAGATGTTCGAGCCTATAAACGCATTAAGGATAAAATGCCCTAATAAAAAAAGAAAGTATGCACATCAAATGCCTTCAATGAAAAAAATCACGGAATGAACAAACGGCATGCCGTTTTTTTAGACGTCTCAAAATTCAGCGCTATCATCAACATTTCTGACTACCCTCTTTATTTATGATGCGAGATATTGCGGGGAAACACGATATCGTGGCTGCCAACTCTGGATATATGTATGTTTAGGTAGGGATAAGTCATTTATTACCAAGTTTAAACCTTGGAAAACTTCACCATGGAAACTCGTTCCCCCTTTTAGTCACGATTTCGGAGAAATGCGGACACATGAACAGAACGCGAATGATTAACGCAATAATTGATTATAAGGATATACACAGTAGGTGTCTTTTCCTAAAAAAAGGGTGACTAATATCGAAACCTTATTCGTCTTTATGAGGTTTGTTTGATAGGTAATTAAACAGTCACTTATAGTCAGAATTTTAATTCGATTCCTGATTTGACATGGCCTATTGTCATTTTGTGAAATAATGATACCACATATAACAATGTAGTGATGAACACAAAAATCGATAAACAATCAGTGAATCAGTTTCAGGAAGGCATTAAAAAAATTACGGCTAGCGAATGGTCTAAATGCGTATCCCATGTTGTCTAACTAGATATGTTAATTGACAATAAAAATCACAGACACAATTCATAATAAATGTTACAGAAAGTAACAGCGTTAGCGATAGCGATGACGGCGACAATTTATAAAATTTCTGTTTTATTTGTCATGTTCCTTCATGATCACATTTTTTATTAATTTCACACACAACTACAAAAGAAAAGTCTCAGATCGTTAATTAATTTTCAAAACTAAATTATCGGTTCAGAAATATTTTATTTCCTGATAAACTTAGTTTACGAGATTAAATTTATAAACGAGAGGAATCGATTCAGAAATATTCGATTTCCACATCGAATAATTTCGCAACTTCACTATATATTACGTGTCATAACGTTGCAACACTGAAATTGTCAAATCTGGAATGGAATTAAAATTCCGAGTATAGATGATTTGGCATGACTGTATAAGCCCTACTTTGTTTCAATGTATCAGAATAATAAATCAAGGATTTTTTACCTTCTCCAATCTCCAGTATCAAATAATCTAAATACGTTGTCAAAGCCTACCATCCCCTTCAAGTCTTAATTAATACAGTTTATAAAAAAACTACACGAGCAGAAACAGATGACCCGACGACAAAAAAGATGGCAGTCAAATGGAAAAGCTTCGTTACATTCAGCCTACAATTCTAGAATAAATGATAAAGCAAATAGTTATGTTATTCCCTGTGTCCTAGTTTCTGGCTGTGAGCTATTTATAGGCAAATTAGGTCACAGTACGTTGTACCTAGGATACACAGGTAACTGTTGCGTCATTCAGGCTTAAGTACTTTTTATTCTGTTGTTGTTGTTTACATTTTATCGAGGCTGTTTTGTTCTAGTTTGTTAGCGACTGGAGCTGTTATTGAGTGATTCCATTTATGAATATGCTTTTAATGAATGGTTGAAGTTTTATATATTTGTTTGCCTTATTTTCGTTGCCAAGTGTGATTTTGTGTAGATCCGAGGGTAGTGTCTTCCTTTTAATAACTAGTAAAAGTTTTTTGGCTATAGCATCACACCTGCACACCTCTGAGCTTCTTCTCATCCAATCACTACCAGCCATCTGGTCATCACTCCATCTGCTGGAAGGCGTCCTACGCTACGTTTGCCGAGACTCGGTCGACACTCCAAAACACGTCTACCCCAACGGTCGTCGGTTCTTCGTCAAATGTTAACTGCCCACTGCCACTTCATGTTGCTAATCCTTTGGGCTATGTCGATAACTAATTTTTCTGTTTAACCAGAGGGCCTACACGATACGAGGGTGGAGCTATAAAAAGTGTACAGCTCCATCCTTCTTTCTTGCCCGGAAGATTGACGCTTTAGCACGTCATAGTAGGCCTTCAGTTCTTTCAATTAGATCCTGCAGAAGAACTCCGAACATAGCCCATTTCAAACATATCCCTCTAAGCATATCTGGACAATTTGGGGGAAATAACATCCCCTTATACCACTCGATGGATAGGTTATGTCTAGCGGTTTGGTACTTGACCATAGTTGCAGCGTCATATAATTTTTATTGACTTGGCTTGTTACAAGGACTCCAGAAAAGTTTCTTCATAGTCCACAAGTGGCAGGCGTAAGGGCAGATATATTCCTCAGTTTCTGCTCAATCTGCCTCATTGTATGTTCGTGTTCCATAGAGTCATATCCTCCTCGAACCTGGTCTATTCAGGGAGCTGACGATTCTTGATGAGACGACTTCGAAGGGATATAGGTCAATAAGTCTTCAAAAGGGTCTTGATCTTGGTGTTTGAAGTATATCTTGACAATACTCCAGTACTCCCGTTCCATGCCTTTGGAGTTCTCATCGAGAATAGATCGAAATCATATATGCGTTTTAGTCGTCCGAGTATTGGTTTTCTACCTGCCTGTAAGAACTCCATCGTATATATAAAACTGTTATAACATATGACTAGTAAAAGTGTGTCACTTAGACCCATTTTTTTGAGGAGGGTCCGGATAACATAATTGTATTTAAGCAATTTCACTCTGCGTAAACAAACAGGTATTTTTATCGTATCTTATATAATAGATATATGTCTACATAATACGACTGAATAAATACGTGTATGGATTAATCAAAAGGTTTCTCCAAATCAATGCATTGAACTGATCACCCTGTCATATAGAACTTTGTCCTTACATGACACACGACCTTTCGTTTGACCTACTTACAGAAATACAGAATTTCAATGGAAACGCTATAGTGGGACAGTTTAATATCGAGACTGAGGACTTTGATACACAAAAGCCTGTCATCACATCATCTAACTGCCCACAAAGGTAGGTTGTAAGAATGATGTGATTAAATCCTGTTTTACAATATTTGAAATAGCCGCTATATAGGTATAGTCAATGTGCCATTATGTGGCACAAATATGTATCGTACGTTTTCTTTGTATGTTATAGGACGGTAAATAAGCAGGCGGAATACCTGATGGTAAGCAGCACCACCCATAGACATCTGTCGCCAGAGTTATGAGTGCGTTGCCGGCGTTTTGGCGGGTAGGCAGGGATTGGAAAGGGATGGGCCTTCGGTAACCTCCTCTCTTTCACGCCGGTTTTCTGCGAGGCGTGGTATTACTTCGGTCCTGCCGACCTATTCGTACGTATGGTTCTTATCACACGCACGATATGAAAGTGGGGAAGTTAGCCCTTTGGTCTCATCTTTAGATAGAAGAGAGCCTCATTTGAAAAGAATAACTAATAGATATAGTTAAAATGCAAATAATATTTTAGCTTTACGTTACATAAGAGTATATACCTACAGTTATTTTAATATACACTGAAAGAAAAGTTTCCAACCGCAGAAATGACAACAAACCAAGAAAATGTACGTGTGTACTTAAATAAAATATTGTTCCGTAACTCCAAGTCTTGTGAAGATGTCTTGAATTTTTCACTTTATGTGGCTGGCAGAACATTTTAAAGTCAGTTTTATTGCGGACAGGACTGAATTTAAGACTACAAGCAGGCGCTGGTTGTAACTTGCGGTATCTACTAGAATTTAAATTTTAAACCCTGTGGCTTAAATGTGAAGTTGTATTTTCGCCTGAACGGTGGATATACTTTCTGTAAGACCATTTTGGAAAGAGGAATAAAAAGAGCTTTTTTTATCAGAAAATCTGAAAATTTTGGGGATAATTTTAAAATTATAAATTGATTTTTCTCGTTTTTGTAACTATAAAAATGTAATTTATATTGTAAGTAACCTACTTACAAGTTTTTTATACATCGCATCTATACCAAAATTGCCACCATATAGACGAATAACGTAGCCCACTGAGAAAAATGACACCGACCATTTTTCCCGGAGACAGTAAAGAGGTGGTCGCTAGATTGCCAGTGAAACTAACAAAGCGGTTTAGTAAGACGATCTGAAACCGTCTTTCTTTGTGGTAATCGTATAATGATTTCGTCTTTTTCTTTTTGAAAAGGAAGTAAAGTCTGCCAAAGCGAGACAGATTGGTAAATTAAAATATCATGCTATTTGAATTAAATGAAAAGATTAGTGTAGTTACGTTAGTGTTTGTTGAGAAATGGCAAAGGTCTAAACTTTTAATTACTTTTACGGCTTTTTCATGTAATACGAAGTAACTCGACTAATTTCAAGCCACGCCAGAGGCCATAATAATAATCATGAGTACTGAGTAGCATTCGTGGGAACAGGTGCGACGGGCTCTGTTTGCGTTCGTTCATACAATCGGTTCTTTTTTTGCTTAGAAGATTATAAACAGTGGTGCTTATCGAAAATTTTTTCGTCAACTCTGAGCCTGCAATCTATTGAACGATGCAGAAATTTTAAAATGCTTACATTATTGTGATGACTGATAAACCAGTGGGTAATCAATCAATTTAAAATAGTTTCTATACCCAAGCAAAGATTTCCGTTCCAACAAATCAGTGAACTGAAGCATTTATTTGTATCGCGTTGTTTTGTTGAAGGTCTCAGGGGAAATGTTCGCTTCTCGCAGTTTGTAGTAAATTCCGTATTAATTTCCAGGGAACATAAGTTATTGTTTGAAAGGGTTTCAGACAAAACAAATATGTTTGTAATGCTTTTTTATTTCATAGTTTCATATTGACTTTCGCGTTCATTGTGTTGTCTATTAATTGAAGTTAAGGATTATTCACAATATTTGCAAATAGATAAACGGTTACCTACAATATTATAGAAAGTGATTAATTGTCAGTAGGTGTTGTGCCTCTTACTGACTAATATTATAAACGCGAAAATGTTTAGGAGTTATGTTTGTATGGATTAAACGCCATGGGGGACAACATGTGGGCCACGCTAGCAGAGGATTTGCTTTCAACTGCAATCTGTCGGCAGTCAATGACTTATACACTTTCAGTTAAAAATTACTGAAAGCTTTTGAGTGAAATTTGGCACAAAAATGCATTGTAGTCTGGAATAACACCTTTGCTATGTCTCACCTTGGCACTACGTCGAAGTCACTGGCTAGTAAATATAAACCATCATGCCTTGTGTTTCTTGCGGACAATCGTTTTGAGATTTGGAATACGACTTTTTTATATCTGACTTCGAGTAGTCATATGGTATTGTCCAGGTCGAGCGGATTCGAACTCTCGTATTCCATCAAAATTCATGATTGCTGGAATTGTCCAAAAGTCCGAAGATCTGACAGCTTGAGATCTCCAGAACATACCGAATTTCCTACTATTGAACAAAGTCGTAAACTCTACCTATTACTAATTGAGAAATTGAACCTGACTACCGAGATGTGAATCGTGAATTCAGTTCACGTTTCTGAATATAATATCGAGGAAATCCACTTTCCGAATCCTCTTCCAACCCCTACAAGATAATTGGCCTTGAATTATATTATCTCAAGGGCATAATGGCTGATATTATCATATTAGGTCCATTATTCAGAGCAAAACATCTTATTTTATGTCGATTGTGCTAGTCAAATGGGACCAAAGACAAGCCATGAATGGATGTACTAATGAATAGTATGAATACTTATTTTATTCATCTTTATAGGAAACAGCAAGGCTGTTCTAATAATAATAATATTCTTGGTACTAGAACTCCTAGACCATAATATTGCCTACAGCGAGTTTCCGAAGAAGCTAACATGACCTAATTTCACTTGTCGATATTGACTAGAATCACTAGAAATGTTACTCTAGAAATCTAAGCCGTCGATATTATTAAATGAAGACTTACTAGCGTTTTATACGAAGGAAATGGAAAAGTTTTCTCCTTTCCTAGTTGTCTTAGTTAGTGGTCATCTTCCAATAATTGCTTCGATATCTTTTTAGCTTCCGAATCGATTGGTCTTCAGCGTAATAGTGCATTGTATTGGAATGCGGGGTAAAAAACTATCTCTTATTTTGTTGATGTTCATTTGTTCTTTGAGATTATGACACGCTGTATTTAGGTAGATATTTGAACAAAGCTAAGGCAGATTGTTTCCAACCATTTAGATATAGTAAGAGGCTTTTTTTGTGAGGGGAAAATCATCAAATGACTTCTCCCGCCCAGGTCCGGGCGGGAGTCAGTAAAAACTCCCCCTGTTCCTTCTCATGCTCTGGGTCGAGGTCGCGGTGCTTCATTGTGCTTACCCCGCAACCCCGGCTGATATGAATTTTAGCTTCGGTAACTAGGCACATTGACTGATAACATATTTATCTTTAAATATTTTTTCTTAATTAATCCATTGGATTATATTACGCACTATACTAGGCTATCGCCATACCAAAAAAAGTGAGACTTAAATACAAATTCTTTTTCTTTTCTTCCTAGATCGTTGTCTGAAGGTGACAACTCAGTGTTTTCTGAAGGGGGCACGACCCCTATAGACCCGAATGCTGGTGCAGCAAGTGAAGAGAAACAAGAGGATAATGCAAGTGGCAACGAATCGGAAGAGGTCGACGATATAGAACTTATATTCACTACAGACGAATCGAAGGATATGAGTAATTTACAGGTAAGAGTATTACCCTTTGGCAGATCTACAATGTATTTTCTATCGTGTCTCACGCAACGGCAGTCAAGAGGTTAAGAGTACTTCGAATTTTGCACCAAAAAGACTGTCCCAGAAGTTTGTCTTATCAAATTGATAAAAACCTTATGAAGAATGCTTTAGCGATTATTGAGACAGGATGTGCAATTGTGCATATGTCCTTATCAGGCGTAATTACTTATTTATAAAATGTCAAATAACGTACTTTCGCATTTTCTTGGGCGGCAATAAAGTTTAATTTAAAGCATACGGAATATTGTGCTGCTTCGCCAGTATATACAAAATGATTTTCGGTTTTTTATGGTGTACTATTGTAACCGAACATAGTTTGTGACTTTTTATTAGCCTACGCTCGGGGATAACCTTGATATTTGACTATTTGTTGAGATTTTTAGTAGTATTCGTAAACTTTTAGACAGTTTCTATGGGAGTAAAGCAGCTGACGTTATGAAGCCAAAGCGAAAGTTTTTATAGTTAATTATATGACATTAGCGAATTTCCCAGTAAGGGGCTCCAAATATTATGCCGTTTAGTTTCAAAACTACTCATTAATATTATGAGACATTTGGGTTGAAGCAGTCATAATTGTTAGCATTATATTAGGTTTTTATACCCACGCATGTTTGTCGCGACGACTATAACCTTCCACTTCTTCAATGCAGGAGGACCTCGTCTCCATTCGCGAGGGTGACCAGTGGGCCCCACAATCCGCATCTACAGCGAATTCCACGCCAGTCCTCATTAAATTCCACACACTTGACCCTGACTTCCAACCAGGAAAGGAGACTAAAATCTCTCCAATAGAGAACCAGGAGAATAATGATCGACCAATAGAAGTCTCCAAACAGAAGAGGGTCTCGCTCCCAAATGATAAAGAGATCAGACACGTGGCGTTTAATGGCAAGGGAAGTTTAGATCTCCCTGGCCGTAGCATCCTGAAGAGTTGTGACAACAGATCAGATAATATGCTGTTCAGAAAAAGCCCTAATGTGAGTGCAAGGAGGTTGGATAGCATTGACAGTCTCACTTGCGAGTACAATAGAGGCCTAAGTTTTGATAACACCAAGTCTTCGAGCTTCGAACTCGGTTCCAGCATGGACATCCTGCATAGAGAGGAAAGTGTTGACAGTTTCCACAGGAACATTAACTTAGGCCATCGGTATTCGGTGTTCGCCGAAACTGATATCTCCAAGTGCGGTACTTCTGAAGATGACCTGGCTGCTAACTTGAATGTTAGGAGGAATACTTGCCCCAATCCATTTCAGTACAGGTCAGTGCTTATTATTTCTTCTAAAGAATTTAGTTAGGCAATTTATTTCAGGTTTTATACGACGAAATGTGTTGAGGATGCATTTCTATAAAATTGTTGGCTATGTTAATATCTTCTAATAAAATTTTTGGCTTAAGGAAGATGGTATTAAGATGATCATTTAATTCTACAGGCCCTCGAACTTCCGAGGCGTCTCCCGACCTCCAGGCCCGTTCAAGGCTGGTACGGCCCGTCTCCGACCTGTATTACGTGATGGAGCGCACCCTCGCAGGGAGAGCGGCGCACAAACTGACGTATGCGCATTGCCACCACGATGGAGTTCCGACGGATATCTTGCACATAAGGTAAGGAGCTTTTCGTGTGAAGTTTTAAGGGTATTTTTTATATATACTATACATGACTTGAAATGTGGTTTCCCCTCGTAGTAAACGACCAATCTTAATTTCGACTAGTTATTCAAATGAATAATATGGTTGCACTATAATAGTTTGTTTTTAAATATAATTTCTTGATATTATATTCAATATTCTTACCCTTTTTAAAATTGTGATATAACTATCTTTTAAAGGTTCTTTCCTCCGTCCCAAAAAAAAAGAAACCACATGTTTTTAATCGTCTTTTGTTCTGAACATAGTCAGAACGAAAGACCTTTTTAGCTTATTATCTCCCTCTTTTCTTCACAGCTGCCTATTCCGCCGACCAGCGTGCCCACAGTGCCGTCCCGCGGGGCGACCACGACTCGACGGCTGACCGTACCGGATGCGCGACCCCCGCCGCCTGTACGACGTACGGACGAAACGCGACGAGTGCTACTCAGTGACATTGGTACACTCACTTGTTCCTTCTTTCTTTATCATAGGGCGGCAAACGAGCAGACGGATTACCTGATGGTAAGCAATCAGCGCCGCCCATGGACACCCGCAACGGAGGAGTTACGAGTGCGTTGCCAACCTTTTAGGGATTAGGGATTTGGAGATTTAGGGATTGAGGAGGGATTGGGGGCGGGGAAGAATTGGGCCTCCGGTAACCTCACTCACACGGCGAAATACAACGCTGTGGTTGTTCACGCCGGTCTTCTGTGAGGCCGTGGTATCACTCCGGTCGAGCCCTTGTAACATGATACTTGTTTTCGTTTTACGTGTTTCGGCTTAACTACAAACAACAGACTTATGTCTTCCCACCAGAAATAGCTTCCTAGCTTCTTTATCAGCTACAGGGTTGCGGGTGCAACAGCAATAATGGAGCGCTAGCGATTCCCGGAGCTGGAGAAGGAACGGGATGGTTTTCTCTCAGTAAATTTCTCTTCCTTTTTCTCCTCAACTCAAAAACTCCTTTTAAGCCATTTGATAAAATGCAGTTACACTATACTAATGCCAAAATATCTACAATTTCTTAATAGATAAGGGTCACTGTTAAGACTGCACGGTTAGCGCGGTGGGTGGACAACTGGCTGCCGCGCAACGTATAGCGGGTTCGATTCTCGCACGGAACAATCTCTGTTTGATTTATAGATTGTTGTTCCGGGTCTGGGTGTGAGGAGCATGTGAAATTGAATGTTTGTAAACGCACCCACGACACAGGAGAAAATCCTAGTATTGGTTAACGTTTAAAAAAAACAAATTTAAATATGCCACTTTACCATGGCCTTACTATTTCCAGGGTTCACATCGATGGTGCCCGAATTGTCTCGGTCTGCGGACCCGGTGTGGGCGCTGGGCAAGCGACAGTCCCATCCTGATGACTCTACCACCACATCTACTTCTAAGTGAGATATATTATGTATTTACTCGATATGCGATATAATTTGCGCAAGTACTAATTTCGTAAAGTTATATTGTTTCCATTATGAATTCATAAAGCCCTAAAAGATGCCAAGACATTTGGGGCTTTTCGTTTATCTTTTCTAAATAAAAAAGTTGGATAAAAAGAGAATAATATGTACATGCATATCTCAAGAGTTGTAGTAATGGATCTAGAATTTTCTTTATTCAGCATGAATGAATATTTGATAGAAAATAAATAGAATATTATAAAACCGTATTCAGTTTCAGTATGTTTTATAATCTGATTGTTTTGGAATAGATTCATGTCGCGCGGCTCGTCCTATCGTTCGCCGTGCCTCAGTATAGACAGGAGCAACGACTGGACACCACAGAACGTGTACTTACCATCATGCAGAGGTCAGTTTTAATTGCATTAATATTCTTTAGAGACATCATCGCAATTATCTAGTAAAACTTATTTTATACGCCAATTCCTTCTTATAGGATCTTTTGCGCCAGTTGCGCAAGTTTGCGCAATGGGTTTGCGCATACGTAAATTGCTTGTTCTAAGTAGTGGTGGTCCAAAAGTTAAGACGCCCGGTTCTCATGCATGAGCTTGTGGGTTCAAGACCTGGCAAGTACCGACGTGACCTTTTCCGAGTTACAGTACGGTACACACCACACGAGTACGGTGAAGGAAAAAATCGTGAGGAAACCTGGACTTATAATTTCTAATAATAAGTTTTAAATAGTCAACCCGCATCGAGCAAGCGTGTTGATTAATGATCGAAACTTATCCGTGTGAGAAGAGGCCTTAACTCAGCAATGGGCATTTATAGCCTATATAAATGATGATGTATATATATATGCTTATTTGTATTGTATATATTTGCAGATTCTAGCCGTCCCTGGCGCAGCTCTCTGCCAGACGTCCGTCGTGATGATACGGATGAACTGCTAGAAGAAGCGGAAATGTTTGTGAGGCGATCTATTGACAACCTGCAGGCGCCATCTATCGATTGTAAGTTTTGCGCAATGCTTTCACTTTTAGCGCATTGGTTGCGCTAGCCTCTTCGTAAGTTTAGTTTTAAAGTATAAGTTATACTTTGTAATCTGTTTGCAAAATCAAATGTATTTATTACTGAGCATTGATAAAAGTTGTCTATTGCTTGCATTTCACTGGGTACTCTATAATATTTTAGACCATGTGTGTAATAAACGCAACTGCTGAAGTTCTAGATAAGAAGTCCTAATATAAAAAATTCTGTGTAGAAAACTACACGGAATTTTTCCTCAGTAAAATTACGAAGTCCTTAATTAACGGCTAGGATATAGCATATCAAGCAAGTATTTTTATTTAAGGTATAATTAGGATTCTTTGAATGATTAATAACCTTATGTTTTGATGTTTCAGTGGAAAAATCAATCGGTGTGACGGGTCAGCCGTACATTCCTTCGGAACCTCGTCAGCTGAGACTCGGACATACGGTGAAGGTGATCACACCGCACGGACGTATCGCTGTGGGGCGTGTCAGGTACGGCATCGAATATGGTATTTATTTTTAAAACAATACTTTCTAACAAATCTATATGAAGGCACCGGGGGGTTGGTACAAACATCAACATCCCGATCATCGTCTTCACAGTCCATCGCAGGGCCTAGGATTTTATAATCAAACCGAACAAATTACAAAAATAACTGACGTCGGCGATCCGTCTCAGATGACAGTCACAGCGCTCGCTCTCCACCATAATGCGCACGCAGAACTGTCAGTTTGACGTTCCGCCAGAGTACGATTCATTGTACCCTCGTCTGATGAATTGTGATAAAACCTCCTTCAAAATTCAATTTAAATAATCGAGACTCCGTCATATACATATCAACATCACTTGCCACTTTTCGTTGTAATGTTATAACTCAACAATGCCTTTACCGATTTGGCTAATTTTGGTCTTGAATTATTCGTGGAAGTCCAGAAAAGGCTTGAACAAATTAAGAAACAAATTGAAAAAGTGTCAAATTGACATCCACACGGGCGTATCCGCGAACGACCGTTTATTTTATATGAAATACATATTTGGGATGTCATCGTTTGTCACGTTCATAGTTAACAAGCATACTTATTTTTTTAAAAATTTGCTAGATAAATTCGAAAACTAAGTCTGTCAAATCTATGAATGAAATATATAAGTACTAATATTATAAAGAGGTAAAATTTTTAAGTGTGTATGTTACCCCCTACATACAAACTTAAAAATTTTACCTATTCCTCTCTCCTCTCCTTTATCTTTGGAAACGCTGGTAGGATTGCCAAAATTCTTTCACTGATAGATAGCTACAATGTTCCTGAGTGCTATAGGCTATAAAACATCACGCCACGATTAAATGGAGCCGAGCAGCGGGTGTAACCGCGCGAGCGTAGCTAGTATGTGATATTTTTGAATATAAAAAGTATATTGCAAAGTTATAATCTTTTATTTTGACTTAGGAAAGTATCCACTAATACAACTTAGGAGTTTGTTCTATATAGTGTCTGATTAATACATGATAAATAAAAAATGTACTTTGTGAATCTCTGAGCCATCTACGAAGTGCAGGCTTAACGGGGGCTTTTGATAGAAATGGTGATGGTTTTGGCCGGGTAAAGTACATTATACAAAGTTTCCGAAGCGATCCGACATGGTACAGGCCATGTCTTCGGAAACTTTATTGCCCTGAATCATCAATCACTTTGGCTGTCCCAAACCTCCACGGTAGTTCTTTGAGTAAGCCCTAAATCATCAATTGCTTTGGCTAAACTGTGCCTAACCTCCTCCGTAGTTCTTTGAACGAATCAGAAGTATAAATGTATTTTAACTATTTATTGTAGGTACGTGGGCCTGGCCGGCGCGAGTACGGCGACGAGCTCGGTGGTGGTGGGCGCCGAGCTCATCCACAGCCAGCAGCCAGGCCTGCCGCGCAACGACGGCCTCTACCGCGGACGCCGGTACTTCCTCGCGCCGCCCCTACACACCGCGCTCTTCGTGCCGTTCTCTAAGGTAGTCATGGCATGGGCTAATTAACGGTAATTAATTCACTACCGACTTTATCACGGTTACAATAAGACTTGTTGTTGTATGCAGTGACTTTTGTAGTCGAAAATACTGCATATAGACAACTATATGCAGTATAGGGTTTGTGTTTTGTTCATATATCGTTTAAAAGTTCAGACAAAATAATTAGTTTTACTATTTATATATTTTTCGTACGTAATTATGTATTTTATTATTATTATTATCATATTGTAATCAATTTATAATGACAGTGTGTCTAAATACTTTTCGATATATGGGCTTAATAGTCGTGGTAAAAAATGTACCTAATCCAGATTTGAGAGAATTCAAACTATGCAAAAGTGCATATAGTTGAAGATGATAATAAAAAATGCAAGAAAACGTTTAAAAAGTGGTGGAAAATGGAAAAATTGTGAATGATTTTGGTATATGCATGATGATGGTATAAGTACTTTTTTTAAAAAACGTGGGCAATGATATGTAATACTTGGCTTTGTTGGCAGAATGTAAGAATGGTTAAAATACAATGTGTTATGGCGCGATTTCACTTAAATTGTTTTTCATATGAAACAAGGAATGTTTAAAGCGTTAAAATGGTTATAAAGAAAACCCCAGAAGGATTTGAAAGGAAATAATTACAATAAGGAAAATGTGGAGTTAATAAAAATAATATTCTCATATATGTAGGTCTTTCTAGCTTACTGGATTCGCGTTTGTACTCGTGTAGTAATATATAAAAAAAATATTAAATTCATACTATTTTAAATATAATATATTATATATACAAAAAGTAAGTATTATTCATTCACATGTAATTAAATAATAATAATAGTGGAGATCTGTCAAATTTTTTTATGTAAGATTCATGTTAAGTGTACTGTAATATATTAATGTGCTTCAAAAATATAAAACGAAGGTAATTCGTTAGGAATGGCATTGTTCTATCGATAAAAATGCTTGATTGTATATTGTGCAAGAGTAATAAAGAACAACGCCCCCTTTCTCCCCCTCCCCTCAAAGGAAGGTAATAATTGCACTCAACTCACACACTCAACAGTTGCACTCTACAAATACTAATGTATCTTAAATAAATAATAATAAATGAATAATAATAATTGTAGTGCCATAAGACCATTGGAATTTTACTACAAATATTTTCGCATTGTTAGAATAACCCGACACTTTTGACCCTTTGACTGTACAATGGTGGGTCTTCAGGACCTCCACTAGGCTTCTCTAAGTTATAGAAACATGGGCTGTACCATCGATTGAAAACTTAACAAAAGAACTATATACCAAAATCTACCTTATAGTGTATGAAATAAGTGTCTTTATCGATTGAACAATGTTAAGTAGTAATTGTTTGGTATTGTTTCATACTAGCTCAATTATATTCGCTAATTAGTCAACTAATCGGCATTTAGTGAATATCTGTATGGAATTGAGTGTACGCCTAACTATGCTTATCTTGATATTAAATATAGTATGTGTTTAGAACATTAAAACAAATATTGGAAGTTAGATATTCTTGTACAATCGGCACATTTAAATCATGACCCACCTCCCTTCCCACTGACCCACTTGGAATGAAGTTGGTTTGAAAATGTTATGAATAACGTTTACAATAAGCTTAAAGTGGGTCATAATTTTAATGTGTTAATTGTACATACTTATGTTTCTCCACAATTTGTGATTAACAAAATTTGGTACTTTCGCGAGAATTAGCACTGCCGACTTGGGTGAGAATAATAACTAGACTTTTTACGAAAATAGAAGATTCTAGAAAGGGACGTCTCGTACGTTTTAAAAGCTACTCACAAATTTTCTTAGTCACTTTATTAATCAATGTAAATTGCACCCTATACCAAAGTTTATAAGACCTAATTTGGATTGTGATCATTTAAATAGGCTAGTTATATGCATTTCATATGTGTACTAATATATGTCTAAGATCAGTGAACGAGAGAAAGGAGGTTGGTATAGGATTAATATTATTTTTAAGAAATAAATGTTTTTAATCTGTAATTACTGGATCTCGTCTTCATATAATGGAGCAGATATAAGAATTAACGTAATAATTACTATTATGTAATCGGTATTATATTAATAAATAAGAGTTTTTCAGACAGTCAACCTTTGTTTTTGATAGGCTGATCAACACTAAGAATCAAATTATTGTTGATATTGATAACTTTAAAATGTCTTTACTTAAAATCGCTTACCACATAATTTTATTTATACTATTACACTTAGGGCTGAAATTTCAATGGTTAGATAAAATTTAACTGGGGAATAATTATAATGCTGTCGCGTCAGAAAGTTCGTATAAGACAGTGACAGCAACAATTTTATTCCTCAGATAACATTTATCTGACTATTGAAAAATCAGCCCATAAGCCAATAAAAATGGTCAGTCTTTCAAAAACCGAAGGCTCTTAGAGTTCTGTACTAACATAGAAAAGTTCTGTGTTATTAATAGAAAATAATATATGTTAATGTGTACTCTATCTAACCTCCTAAACTATCGGTGTAATTATAAGTCTGTGGTCAGATACGGGTCATATATCAGGACTAGGATCTTAAACAAGTTACTTTAAATAATAACAAGTATTCAAAAAAAGTTTATATCTCTATATCAACTAAGTGACTAACGTAGTCATGTAATCACCGACTTAAAAATGTAGTGAATACTTTTCGAATTACGAATTACCAGAGTCAGCTTGCAAATAATGAATCCTCTATTAACCACATAAAATTGTACATAGTTATACTTATAAATAAAGGTGAATTAGTGCCATCTGTTGAGTGCAAAACGAAGTGATTGGCACCTACATATACACCTCACATACAATTAGTTTGTAATGCGCTCAACAGGTGGCACTATTGAGCGCATAACGAACTTATTGGTACCAACAAAGTTAATTTCGATTATGAAATGTATCTGACAACGGTATAAGGTGTAATTTCTCTTGCCTTCATATTTCTATTAATAATATAAAGGTTATAGAGGTGTAAGAGTTGTATTATTAATTTATTAAAATAATAATAATAATAGTAAAATAGGTAGATAATTGTGTTTATTGTGTAGATACACGTGATTTAGCGGCGAAGTACTTCATATTGGTAGTAAGCCTCTTATTCGGGATGTAATTAGTCTTATAACATGTTACGCAACGCGTTCTTGTTACACTTGGCAACAAAATATGATTATGCCAAGTTTGCAACTTTGCACATTATGAAAAGATCAAATAAAGAGGTTTTATGTGAACCTAATTTCAGTCGGACTAGGTAAGGTAAATATTGATGAGTTATGGGTCGCAATGTTGCACGTTGCAGGCACGATTCTTCGTCAATCACGATGCAACATGTAACAGAACACGTTGCGGTGTTAAAGAAAATCCCTTAATGAATCCGAGGCTTTAGTTAATAATTAATTAACATGTATGGCTAATTGCTCATACTTCTATAATGGTGCTCTCTTTTTTCCGTTTTTTCTATACAGGCTGTTGTAAAACTGTACTCGTTTTTATCAGTTTTTAAAACATTCTGTCTAGCTTGCTTGTCTTAGACTTAGTTTGGAGTTCCCAAGAGACAACAGTCGGATTGTTTGACGCATATTTTATATATTATAAATACTTATTTTTCTATGCTCATCTACAATTTTGTACTGTACCAAGGGAACGAAGGGTACCGTGGTCTGTTTCTGGTGTTTCGTTGGAATGTATCATTAAGGAAGGACATACATACGAATTCGAAAGCGAGTTTGATTCAACAGTATGTATACTGTTTTGTATGAGTAAAATAATAATTCATTAACAAACGTTATTTTAAAAGACAAACAATTAACTTGATTCATCATCATCATCAGCCACTTAGAGTGTCCACTGCTGAGCAAAGGCCTCTCCTCATACGGAAAAGGTTAGATCACGCTTGTTCAATGCGGGTTGGCGATTTCGAACTTATAATTAGTAATTATAAGTCCAGGTTTCCTCACGATGTTTACCTTCACCGTATGTCAGTGGTGTCTAAATAATCATAGAAAGTACATATAACTCTGAGAAAGTTTCACTGGTACTTGCCAGGTTTAGAACCCACCCTTATGCATGAGATGCCACCACGACATGATGAACTTGATTACAAGTTACAAATAATATCAATGCTTTTAATAAAGATGTCCTTCCTTGACAGTACGAACCCAACTTTTGCATATCAAAACAAAAGAAAAATAAATTGTAGTAAAATATTTTCTTATCTCTGCTACAAAAATCTTTGAAAATTTTTGATGTTATAGAAAGCTTAGCTTAGCCGTTTCGAATGTGTATTTGATGTATAGTGTAATATAAATGTATTAATAAGAAATACTTCCACACTATTTTGTTGTGTTTGAGTACTTAATTAAACAGTCCACACCGTTAAATGAGGAAAAGAGATAACTATATACGTAGGTACTATTTTCTTAAAACGGGACTCGGCTACTTCAGGCCTTCGTGACAAATATTTTAACTAGATATCGACCTAAACTTTAAAAAAATATAGGCATTTTGATATTAAAACCTAACCTAGCAATGAAATAGTATCTCAAACACAACAAAAAAGTTAATAGCTTTATACCAAAAATATATTTCTCTACTTATCTTTAAACGCTAACGAGCGTTGAATCTTAAAATACCCGTAATCACCTTATATTCCAGTGTTACACAGCTTGATACAGCAACATGTTACGCTGCGTACGCTATAACTTGTAGCGCAACACATGTTCTAGTAATTTGGCCTAAGTAGAATTGAATGTTCACATTTACTTCAGCATTTTCAACTACTGATTATCATACAAACGATTTTGGTAGGAAAGAAAAGATATGTGATTGTGTAACAGTGTCTTATTATGTATTGCTAGGATACGGTTAGCGCAATTGATTTGTCCAAAGAGATTCATTTAAAAATATTTTACATATGATTTAATAGAAGGAAAAAATAATTTGTTAAAAGATACCCCGAGATCTTTTGCGCAA